ATTGAACGCTCAATATTTGTATTTCATTATTTAGAGAGGTTGGAATAAAGTAAATCCATTTATGGAATTGATATTGTATCAATTCAAACTAACACCAGTCGTATTGCTCAAAAGCTTCTGACAGGACATTGCTACTAATATAATTTATTAGTTTTCTTAACAATTTATTTCTAAAGACTATTTCTTTGGAGATTATATTTAGAATTTTATATGCTGGACTTTGCCAACAAGTATTTGGTGAATAGTTTTTTTTCTATTTAATCTGTAATGTTTATTCGAATATTTATGTAACAGATAATAAGTACATATCGTACAATACAATAAACAGGTATTATGCAACTTCAGTATGTAATCAGTGTACAAACAAATTGGTAAAGAGCTTATGTCAGATCTAAAAACCCAGACAACTAGCTGATTTTAAAATGTAATTAATATAGTTTGGATGAAAAAATAAGTAAACAAATAAAAATAATTATATAAGCGTCAATAGCCCAATGGTTAGGGGAACGGATTTCCGACCACGAGGTCGGGGGTTCGAATCCCGCCATTCGACTATTGTCGTAAACCATATCCTAGCACAAGTCTAGAGCTTAGTTGGAATGGTAAAAGAAATATTAGTAAATTTACAAAAAAATCTGCTAATATTTAAAAAAATAGATTTATTACACTCAATAAATTAAACAAAAGCAATATATTTTGTCATTTATAAAATCAGCTACAAGACAGACGGGATTTTATTGAAGGCCGTGATATTTTAAGCCTATTCTAAAATTGGGTTGTTCTAACGCACACATAATCCTTTATCATACGTCCCATGTACATTTAAAGTGTGTACAAAGCGTTGGAACTTCCAAGTTGTTAGCATAACGCCCTCCCGAGATGAGGGTCACGAATATTAACATTTACATAACTACTGAGGCTTGGGAAATCATTACGACAAAACGTTGTTGCCTGAAACAGCGGCATTAGGATACTGTGTGGTGTCTGATGTTGAATTGTCGGCAAAGCGAATTACGAACACATCTACTTATCGAAATGTGAACTCGGCTACTAAGCAATCGGCACAAAGGATATTTTTATTAGTTGAGCAATCTGCAGGTCCTGGATTCGAATCCCGCCATATACCAATGTGTTTTGCGATTTCCGATTTACATATATACATTTATTCGACGTTCTTAAAATGTTTTATTTATTACAGAAAGTCGATTAAGCAGATGTTTGTATGCGACATTTTCGATATCACACATGATATATATAAAATTATATCCGAAAGTTTTGTTATATTGGAACATAAACAGTTCATATTTAAGTTTATTTATTTATAAACTTATGAATAAATTAAATTAATCCTGGTATAAATTTAAAATAAACTCGTTGTTCTTGTTTCACAAGTTCGTAAAAGATAATATTATTTTTATATTTTGGGACATATTTAGATACTAAACAATTATAAGCTTGATAATAAATAACTCCCATCGATTTTTGTCTTCACTAAGATATGAGGAATTAAAAATTTGACACTATAAAACTACTAGTTGTCGCCCGCGACTCCATCCGCGTGGATATAAAAAAAAACTTAATATATAGTTAAGTTAAATAAAAAGCTGCTCTTCAAGGCAAAAATTCGAAAAAAAAAGGATAAATAGTATCCTATGTCCGTCTCCTGGCTCTAAGCTACCTTTTCACCAATTTACAACCATATCGGTAAAGCCGTTCTTGAGTTATAAATAGTGTAACTAACACGATTTTCTTTTATATATATAGACTAGCGGACCCGACAGACGTTGTCCTGTCTACCCGTCTTTAATTTGAATAAATTAATATGAAGTTAATATTTGATGAAAATTGTGAATCTAAACCATTCCCAGATCCCCTTGAACACACACAAAAAATTTCATCAAAATCGGTCCAGTCGTTTGAGAGAAGTTCAGTGACATACACACTCACAGAAGAATTGTATATATAAAGATTTGCGATATTACGTTGAATGGAAGATACAAAATGCACAATCATATATTTATTAAAAATATATCAAAAAGTGCATTATAATTATACTTCAGATGTATTTCATCATCAGCCCTCTATACGTCGCCACTGAGGGATTCGGCCTAATTTGGGGGTAACTGGGCCATAGTCAACCATGCTGGCCCCGTGCGGGTTGGTTGACTTCACACATATCTTTGAATTTCCTAGCAGATATGTGCAGGTTGCATCATGATGTTTTCCTTTACCATAAGAAGGTCAGATTAATGAACATATGTACATGGGAAATCGAAAAACACATTAGTACAAGGTGGGATTCGAACCCATGACCTACAGATTACAAGTCAAGTGTTGAAACCGCTGAGCCACTAACGCTCCCCCTGAGCCACCGACGCTCCAATTCAGATGTATTTATAAAATATTATTTACATTTAAGTTTTTGCGGCCTGTAGTCAGTTTCAATTAGTAGAAAGTATAACGTATATATTTTTAATTAAGCGGCGAGAGTACGATACGATGTGTGGGATATCTTCATGATAAGCGGACCGTAACTGTTTAAGTGGTTCACACTGTGAGTGTGAACTGCCCATCTATACAGTCGGCAAAGTTCTTAAACATTAAGGCTCAAGACACACTAGCGCTAAAGCTATAGTCAGAGTCGTGTATTTTTTCTGCATAGTAGTTATACTATAATAGAAAGCTAAGTAGGGATTTCTAACCCTAAAACTTCACTAAAACTGATTGCATCTGTTAGTAGTAAGAGGCTAAAAACAAGCAGCGAATATGCACTTCGCGGCAATGTGTCTTGAGCTTTAGTGTAAAGGCGAGGGAAATATAGCGAATTTTACACTCATATATAAAATATATTTGTAATTTTGAATGATTGAATGTTTAAGAAACAGGATATATTATTTAGACCAACAATCTACTACGTATTGAGTTATTTGTCCTTCTGTTAAGTTAAAGAAATTTGTTCAAGAAACTTTCCGGATAGTTTACTGATGTTTGGTTAATTATGAAAATGTTTGTTTGTCAATCTACGAAGTTTAACTAATATGAAGAATTCTTTTAACATTTTAAAGTTACGTTATCCAGAAGTTACACGGGCTTAACCCTTATTGTGGCAAAATTTCTTTTTTGAAGAAAAGCAAAAAATTATTTTATAGTGATCGTATATTTTTATAAAGTTGTATGTATGGTATACTATACAAAATGAACATAAGGGTTAATAGAAGCTTTTTATATTAAACTTACTAACGAAAAAGTTTGTACGTTTTGCAAATATTTTTTTAAAAAATTTATAGTGATGTTATTTGTCATAATTACAATGAGGTTTTTGTATTTTAAAATATGTCATATGTCACTTTTATCTTTTAATTAATTAATATGTTTCGCGTCTGTTGATAAAATAATGTTTAAGTGCTGCATAAATTTCAAGAAATCCGAGACCACGACAGAAGGCATGTATTTCAAATTATATTCCTTTAAAAAAAAATCAAAGAGCCAACACTTTTAAATTTATAATGATAATAATCGATAAGAAAACTGTTAAAATAATCGCTTGCTGTGAATCTCTTCCTCGTAAATGAAAATACAATCATTAAGGTGACCAGTTATATGCACTACTTTTGCAGACCAATTAAATTGAAGACGTTTAAAAAAAACAAGCTGTCACATTCGGTTTTCCGTAATGGCGTGATGACAGGTGGTACATACAAGACGAGTCGTAATTACTAAAATTCAGTTTAATTAATTTGAACTCCTTTGACAGGAGACGAGCTGGTTATGTTAATATAATAAACTGAATTACTTACAATAAAAGAAACAGTCTCTTAATTGATTGCTATACAATAAAATTTGGCGATAAGTTGACACTCGGTCGACACCTTTTAGTTCGGTGAACTGTAATCTTTTACTGATATCAATTTAATTGTCAGTTAATGATACATTAATCTGTACACTTGTAAGAAAATTATGCATCTTCTAGTATTGTTAAGAAAGTAAAAATTTTATAAATAATTTTACTTATGTTTATAGAATTATCGGACCTACGATATGGGTGAATTCGGTTGCAAACATTTAGTAATCTCCCGTTTATGAGAAATACATCCCAGTCTAACTGTGGGTTTCAGACAACACAATCAGTGTATCAAATATATCGTCATCCCTGTCTTTTATCTTTAACAAAACAGAGATAACAATATGTATTAAATCGGGATTTTGGTCTGTAAAATCCACGGTAAATAGGTTATCATATGTCAGCAGATTACGGTAACCAAGACGGAAAAACCCGTAATGAAAAATCTGTGAAGAAATAGTGACTTGAATAAAATTTAAATTTAGAAATTTAAATGTAAACATTTGATTTGATTTGAAGGAGACTATAAATGAATTTCTTGTTAACATTTCCTAAAACTTTCGTTCAAATCTATTAATATCAGAGTCCGGTTGATCTTGTATATGTATTTGAAATTATAATAAAACTTTGATTGGCACTTTAAACGAAACACGTGTCTAGTTGCAATATATGCATACTATCTTTCTTACAAAAATATAAACGTATACGTAAGTTATTTTTTCTAGACGTTTACAATTCGTTGTTTCTCTTAAATAAACATGGTTCTTATTATTCTGCTAGATACGATACATTGGCTTGTATTTAGTGTATTTTGTTAATCTGATTGAATCGTTAACGTAGACTGAAGTCTATTAAAATTTACGAATATTTTCTTCAGTCAGAGTCAGACAGAGACAGAGTCAAGCATACAAACGGGCCATTTGTTGTGTAAAGCTACTCATAACTGTCTTTTACACATAACGCTCGCAGCTTACCTTGAGCCACCATAAACTTTGAATCTTGTAGTACCGAATTTCGACTCATTCGACGAAAAAGGGCTTTCGTTAGATATATTGCGGTGTGATACTACAAAGGGTTTATTGTTGTTGACAACTGGTTTCAGTCGAACAATTATATCTGTAAGAAATTATGACTAACTTAAATCTTTGTATTGTTGCAGGTCTTCAGTTGCGGAGCATAGAGGAGCCGGCGGGTGCGGGGAGTGCGGGCGGGGCGGGCGCGGGGAGTGGCGTGCCCGCGCCGGCCTGCTACGACGCCGAATGCGCCCGCACCGAAGCATGGCTCGATGAGAATCAAGATTTCGTGCACGACTACTTTTTAAGGTTTGTATTTATGCTTTAAACTAGGTTTAAATGTAGTGTACAGGCGTAGATCACTAATCCAGTCTCGATGGGGGCTATGATTGTAGGTACCATTTTGCAGTTTACTCGTAGTGACATATTACAACAAGCATAACAAAAGTGTCTTTATATTTTCGGCTGAGATACGGATTTTGGTTCTTGTCTTTTTTGAACATCCCTTATAACATTGGTAGTCAAAGTAAATCACCATTTAATTTCACTTTAATGCACATTGTATTTTTGAGAACTCTTAGCTTAGTAAGATTTTAGGTAGAGTAAGAAATTTCTATGCATTGACGTAAAATTATGCGCCGGTTTACCCACTCAGTCTCATTGGCCATGAGTCGCGGTTTCCGCTAATCTAACTTCATCTAAAACTTTCATGACTCATGAATTCAGAACAACGTCAATGTTACGATTGTACAAAGGATTATATCCCGTAATGCGTATGCTGTAAGTATAGTTTTAGCGTGTTATATAGTTTCGCTTTGTTAACCGTAACTGAAAATAATTCTTTTTAATTTTTTAATCATGCACAAATTAATACAACAAACGCACAGACTTATGTCCTACATTACACATAAGCATGTCTTGTAACGGTTAAAAGTTTTGCTTGTAGATGTTTTTTTCAGATTTATTTTAAAAACTAGCTATCACCCGCGATATGAGTTCTTCAAGACTATGTTCTACATTTATGCCAAATTCAGGACGATCTATGCAGCCGTTCTGCAGATACCTTCTTATATCTATTCAAACATTCGCATTTATATTAATAATAAGATTGTATACTTAGTTTTTTATTACATAGATAGACGGCTAAAGCTTGCTTGTTCTATTTTTTAAACATATTTCTCGAACAAGGCGGCTTCGTGAACTAAATATCAATATCAGGAAATAAATAAATCAATCAATTCGTACAGCCGAGATTGCAGTTTTGTGAGATTCGTGTTTACAATCTTCTCTGTTTACTGAAACACTGTTGGAAAATTTTGTTGATCTGTCAATACTTATAGATGTTGTTTACGTGTTACCAGATGTTAAATCAATATATATATATATATATATATTGATTTATAACAAGCTTATTTTTCTAGATTTTTAATTCGATTACTTTGTATTTGAAATCTTCTAACTTATTTTAATATTGTACATAATTGCTTGGTTCTTTTATTAAATTTCTTCATTCAATTCTACCGGCTTATTATAAAGCTTTGAGATATTTAATGCTTCTTTGATCTTGATTTTCAATTTTCTGGTATAATATCAAACGCCAGAGGGAATAGCTAAATATACGTTCAATTAACTTTTCAATTTAGTTGTAATTGGAACAACAAATGTTATTTCCAATTATATATACGCATTCACACGAGTCAACTTTATTTGTAGTATTTAATTGTAAACGTAATATAAATAAAATTTATACGCCAGTATCTTCGGAACCTTGTCTAAAGGAACTCCTTTTAATAATAAATTTTATTATAGTTAATTATTAAGTATGTTTTATTAGTTGCTATGTAAAAATTTTGCTATCCAACTAAAACTAAAAGTTACTAGTAACAACTAAAATAACTGTACAAAATGTATGTATGATGTGTGTTAACTTCTCCGAAAATAAAATGTTCGTAGCATTTTGTAGTACTCTAATAACTACTAGATTCAATTGACTTTCTAGGCTGTTTTCTAACATCAATATGGCGTCGATGTGACAAACTTTTGTCATTACAGTGTCGATGGTTATTCTGAAATATAATTAGTTTGTGTGCGAATTTGTACAGTATAGTGCCATCCAAACGTTATGGAGGCTCGAATTTCACTACTCTGTACAACAAAAATTTAGCTTTTGGTGAGACGTGCTAGAGTTGGGCTCGCCCGTCTTTATTTTCACCTGCATTAGGTCCACCTAGCATCCGATGTATCTTGTAGCTTGTAGCAGTCATAAAGTTTGAATCTTGTAATACAACCCGCATCTCTCGCTACTAAGCTCCTCGACACTTCCAACGTATTGAGTTAGTAACTTCGCACTCGTTAACTTCCAACTCTGTCAAGTTGATTTGCTAGTTTGCTTTAACATCTTCATTCGGAGAGAATTTCTCTAATGTTATCATCTAGCTTTCGCTTTGAAATTTGCTAAGTATAAAGCTATATAAGTCACTAGCTGTTGCCCGCGAATACGTCCGTGTGGAATTAAAGAAAAATATAATAAGTAGCCTATGTGTTCTTGCATACTATGTTCTATATCTATGTAGAATTTTAGCGTGATCCATACAGCCGATCTCGAGATACCTTCAAACAAACATCCTCCCATTTGCATTTATAGTATTAGTAAGATTGTTTAAAGTCTTTATTTACGTTTTCAATTTAGGAATTCTTAAGTTCGGTGATGATGAACTTATTTATTTGGAGTTATTAGAAATCACGAATTAAAAATGTCAATTTTTCATAAATTACTGGAACCTTCTGGTTCAGAAAAAGCCCTAATGTACTAATTAATACGACGGGGTTTCCCGTCTGTACTGTACTTGATGTCATGTTTAGTTTGTCATTGTTATCTGTCGTTATAAATTAAATTAAATCACAAATTCCCCAGCAATCATTTAATTGTAAGCTATTACGATGTTCTTCCTACGTGAACATAAGAACACACAATAAGGAAGTATGTAACGGAAACATAACAGTGATCATAACGAGACAATCTTGTAAAGAGTTTAATAAAGCTTATATGCATGCGGTAGATACCGCTTGGTTGCGGAATTACGCGGAATACGGTGGTTTATCGTAGAACTATATCACGGAGTCCATGCGATTCTGTCTTTATGCCGACTGCGCCAATAAAATGTTTGCGACTACGGTTTACGCACTAAGGCCCGGTTTACAGTATGCTAGAAATAATGAAAAACTCAATCTATTTTTTTCTGTTGATTAAATTTGTTCGTATTGATTCATTTTTATGAAATATAAATGTTGGTTAATTTTAATTTTTCGTGAAGTAATGATGAAGCACTATCAGTCTAAAACAATATAGTAGGTAAATATAGAGTATACTACCAGTTAAAAAAACCTAAGTTATAAATTAAGTTTAAATAGCCTACTAGTTAATCGGACAAGCTGTTTCGGAGATTACCCGGAACAAGCGCGAATTTTTGGACAAAATTTTTCAAACCTAATTGGTTTTTCGTTATAAGCATCCCAAATACATTGTGTTTGCGAAACATATTTTTTTATATAAAATACAGCCTCCAATTTCATCGATTATATGTTTACGATTTACTTCATTTTAGCAGATTTACATCTAACCTTGAACTTCAAAGCTCGTATTTTGAATATATTACAAAGTACAATTTCGTTTTCACAACATTTTTTTATATCTGTCTATTATGATAGCTACACACGAAGAAGTTTAAAAAAAAAAAGGTTTCAGGAGTATTTTTTTAAGTCTTCAAGTGGGTTTTTTAATAACACTTATGTATATAGACTTTTTTATTAAATTGTAAAAGGAAATTAGTAAATCCTTGTTTTAAATCTCCATAATATTTCGATATCGGTGAGAGCTACTTTATATTGTAATTCACTGCAAGCGACTACAACAAACCTTTTATTGCTGCAGTTTGAGCAAGCCAAAATAGTTCATATACTTTTTGATTAAAGCATAAAATAGCGTTTACGAGTATTTAACATATACACCGCTCAATATACTGTGGCGGTAAATACTTGCCATAAAATTTATTGTGAGGTTGCGCGCTGCATACGCGCAGTTGCCTTATGAAACTTTACGACCCTCATCTGTGCATGACGGACATTTATGTTCTTAAGGTGCTTGCTATGAAGGAAGTAATTCCGAATCGTAATTATAAAATGAATATGTTTTTTCTTTAATTTCAAACATGTGCAATAAAGTTTGATATAAGCTAGCATAACTAGTAATAGTTGTCATGTTATGGGCACAGTTTACGAGGGGTAATGTTTTTGCGTGGGAATAATTTACTGAATAGTAAGAGAAAGATTCAAATAAATTCTGAGAGGAAATTGGAATATTTGTATACTACTAATAATATTAATAACTTCCTATGCTTGTATTTGAATCTTTTTTTTCGTCATAAACAAGATTTGGTTCTAACATACAAACCTGATTAAAATTTTAAGAAGTATTTTTTAATATTGCAACTTTTCCTTTGTGGGAGAAGTTTGGAAAGAATCCTCTAATTGTGTGTTAGTACAACGTAATAACTCCATATAGAAAATAAATGACAAATTCTTATGCTTATTTGGGTAAAAATATTTATTCATACAAAAAACCGCGAATACTTTTATGTATGGATAAAGACTTAGTAACAGATGCGTTGTAAGATATTAGCATAATAAGGTTACAGGTTATTCAGTTCAACGATTATTTTGACGTCATATGACGTCAGAGATTTGGTGCAATAATAGAACTGATTTAATTTACTGTTTAATTCATATGACGTCATGATTTACAATGTGTACACATTGTCGGTGTAAAGGTGAGTTTCCATAGACCAGAACATTTACTTTTAACAAAACAACCAGCTACTTTATTATATGTTCTAGTGTACCTTTACACGAACCACAAGTGCTTTAAAAACGTGCTTTTTACCTATATTGTACCATTTTCAAGAACGTTCTCGAACATAGAAATGTTCGAGAACATGTTCTTGTTTTATATATTTAGTTTTAGATATTATTAGTTAGAATTCTTTGACGCGAAAGGCGTGTTTTCGTTACAAAGTCCAGTGTCAGAATGAATAGTGAGGGGACACAAAGGTCGACATTTTAAGGCTAGTGTTGGGTCAATACACTGCCATATTTTCGGATTTTCTTCCTAACATTAGCTCACGGGTTATAATAATATTCATATGCGACGGTTGATAGAGATTTATGAGAGTAGTATGACACATAAAAAAATATCTCTGAGACAAAATAACTCGAAATTAAATAGAAAGTATACTGTATTTCTAACTTTATCTGTCGTTTTCTAAATGGAAAGACATCGTGACTTACTTATTTAATCTACGATGGAGCGAGACAAGGCATTGTGTCGGGCATTGTCCTTCGATGCTGTAATTGAGTTATCTGTTACCTCAGGACGGGTGATACTTTAAATTGTGCTAAGAAAATCTAACATTTAATGCCATACTCAGAGTAGTTTCAATTGTTAAGCAGCAATTTAATGTAAAATTTCTCAAATCCGTAAACACTCATTTAAATCGCTCATATCATTGTTAATATTATTTTCTACAAAATCCAAACTCTTACGGTTGGTTTCTAAGAAAATCTTTGGAAAACATATTGTCATCCCAGTTATTATTTTTGACTAAACAGAGATAAAAAATTTATTTTGGACTCAAAAACCCACTGTTAGTGATCATTTATGATTTTTCTGGTCATTAATAAAACGTTCTGTGTATTTTTAATTAAATAAAAATAAGTCGCCATATCGTTTTACAATCTGTAGTAAATGACAACGAAAGAAAGAAACAGTAAACAAGTTAATTAAGCGGAATGAAATTAAAATCTAAAAGCAATATATGTTTTAACTTTGAATTTAATTGCATAATTACTTTAAAAAGAACAACGAATGCTAATAACTTTATCGCCCTTATAAAAGCATAAAAAGACCTCGCGTGATGTTACATGTGACTTTCCTATTAATTGTAACGTTTTACAATTAAGAAGAATTAAAACGGCACTCTGTGGGAAGATGGACGCCATCATAAATGTTCCTACAATATTACCAGTTAGCGAGTGTAATAAAGGTAATTGAGACTTTGAACATTGCGTGAGAACCATTCAAATTAAAAGTAATAAAATTTCTACAACAAATATACTTTATGTTAACTTTACATAATGAGAACAAAATGTTATTCGCATTTGATACTCTATTCATTCATTTCTACGTTTCCATATTTATATTCTGGCAACGTACAAGACGATCAGGTCAAGATTGTATCGAAGTGTTGGACTGGACCTTACCTTGTAAAAGTGTTGTCGCCCTTAACCAATGGATTTCTGCAACCTTGGTGCTTCGATTGAATTAACGACATTAAATAGAAGTTCTTTTACTAATAGTTTACTGGTTAATCAATATTGATTGTCCAATATGTCTTATAGAAAGTATTTGATGATGATATGATGATGATGAAATGTGCCTTACAATGTTGTATTATTTGTCAGGAAAGCGACGCGGCAGGTGGTTGATGCTTGGCTGGTGTGCCATGCAACGCCGCCCAGCGCCGAGCTCGCGTCTCCCTCGCGTGCCGGTTCCGGCTCGGGAGCCACCACACCTGTCAGGTAATGACTTATCCATAAAAATATTGTGCTATCAATGAAGATAATACACTAATGGGGTAGATGACTTCGATTATGACGTCCCTGGTGATTAAATATGACAACTAAGCTGATAAATCTGACTAGTTTTTGAAGTGGTAGATTCCTACACATATCTATTTTATTGTTTGACTTATCACATCAAAAAAGGCCCTAAAAGTAGCTCTACCTATAGCAAACTCATAAGTCTTGGTCTTGGTCTGAGATCTTGTAAAAAATAAATAAATGAACATCCAAGGTTTTGATATATATATAATAGCATTTCTCTGTATAATCTGGAAAAAAAAATAACGCGTAATATATAATACTCACCAAAGGTTATAAAGACAATTTATAATCCTCCATTCGTGTCTTTATATATGACGTAGTTAAAAAGTCTCGTACACTTGAATTATGCAAGCGCATAAATTATTTACGCGCATTATACAAGCATTAATATATGCGTCTTATCCTCACCGTAACCTGGTGCTTTGTACCTTCATCAATCTTATGTCATCCTCGATGAGAAAACTCTAGGGTTGTCAGTTGTCGACATTTTTTTTTATTATTTACAAATAGTAAACACACCCCTGGCCCTTCGTACACAAGGCAACTTAAATCTTACGCAATGTCATAGATAATCAAAGTATGCGTCGCCGACCTGTTTGTCTAGATTGTTGTCGGAAAAGTCGCTGCGATGACGTGCTGAATAGACGAGTCGCGTCGACGATTCAAAGTCGTATGTACGAAGCGCGCGCAACGCGATACGACGCGATGTAACCATACAATATTAATTTCGATGATTTACATTGCTTTGTGTACGAAGTGCCTTAGTGACCTTTAAAATTTTCGATCAATTATAGTCGAATTAAATTTATGCTATACTACAACTATCATAATTGTAAGTTGCTTACATACAAAATAATATACATTTATAGATGTGCAATACAGTTTACTTCGCTTGAAATAAAATCTCTATATTTCCGATATTTCTGTTCTAAATTGCTACCATCGTTAAAAAGAATCGTGACTTCGTGACATGGAAGATTGTCCACAATATACAGTTAAAGCAAAGTCGTTGCAATTCGAGTGCAGCAGTTTCCTTCTATTTCGCACTGTTTTCTTGCAACTAACTTTTATGTGGCTGTTCTACTAACATCTTAGACATTTTCAAGAAGACCTAATGTTTAAAAAAAAACTCAGTTTAAGTGATGATAAGTGTCTTTGAATTTGAGCATAAAATCGTATGGAAAAGACACAATAGACAATTCTATTATCATCAACATTCTGCCTTTTTGACTACGGAGGGTCGACACAGTATGTGCTACTTTACCATACGTCTCTATCAGCTATTATATATTTCATACTAACCATCAAAACCTTCGGTCTTCTAAGATCTATATAGTGTTGATTCTTTGGCAGGAAGATCTCTGCGCACGAATTTGAGCGCGGCGGTCTGCTGAAGCCGTTGGTGACGACGGTGGACGGCACGCCCACGTTCCTGGGCGATACACCTCACGCCGCGCCCGCCCGCCCACAACGTCGTTCGCGACATGAGCTGAGACAGCTGGATGAAAAGGAACTCATATTTGAACTAGTCAGTATTAAATACCATTATTACTTTATATTAGTAATAGATGACACGTCTGCAGGCAATACACGTTAGGTTATGAGATGCAAAACTTACTAGGAAAGTCTAGCGTGTTTGTGACAAAAAATATGCTTAATATGAAACTCGACGATGCCTGCGAGGTAGCAAAAGGACGTTACTCATAAAACTTCGCATATTGAGTATTGGAAGATGAATTCGATTTAATTATTTATATCAATCAAGTGGATTGGTAATATTTGTAGCACGTTATCTTTTGTTTATAATTTTATGCATTTTTAATTAAAGTTCTAACAAGATTAGCGATATGAGTTGCACTGTTACAAAATTGTATTTTGTGTTGTTACGCTTCGGATGCGTGAGGTGGAAAATTAACTCGAAATTAAATTATAAAGCTTGTGATTTTGGTCTTGTTGGTTAATATTTTATAATCAATTTATGGATATTACAATATAATCTAATACTCGTATGCAAGAGGAAAGAGCAAAGGAAACGGATTTCCATTTCAACAGATATCGTATTTCTTACATCCATTGTGATTCAATATTTGTCAATAACTCACCGATCTGGTTGACATTAATATTCATTAATTTATAATGTGAATTTTGCATTATGATTTTATTAAATTTAATTATTCATTTTCTGAATGAAAGGAATGTAGTTTTTATTGATACTGCAATTATATCGATGTAGCCATTTATACACAAAATTACTGCAATTCATTTTTTTTAATATCTTAAGCTAGCAATCGAGCAAAAGTCTACCAGAATTCGCTGAAATAGCAAACGCTGCCCATAGATATCCGCAATTAATGTGTTGCTTACCTTAAATCGCCGGAGGAGGGGACGCGCTGTAAGAGAATATATGCCCTTCCTTTGCTTGCACTACTCTGTCAAATCTACTTCCCCTTCCCTTCCTATCTTTATTCGAAAAGTGTGAGTAGGGTGAGAGGACAAATTAGGTCTCCGCAATGCACACTTATCAGGCGAAAAGCGGTATTACTTTCACTTTACGCCTGTCTTCTGTGTGGTCGTGCTATTGCACCGGGCGAGCAGGCCTCTTCGCACAATAGATGTTTTTGTTGGTTGCATCTAACCATTGTTACTAGTAACTAGATGGCGCTGTCATGATATATTCCTGAGACATTTACTATCTCTAATTTACTCGCTTTAACTACGCCAAGTTATTCACGAAACCCATTAACCGTTGTTTTCTGAGACCAAATCTCTAAATAAACCATATCGTCATCACTGTTTTTTTTCTTCATCTCATAAGGTGGCAAACGAGCGAGCGGCCACCTGAAATCGCTGATATAGCGAAGTGACTTTTGTTTAAATGTCAGTGTGTTTTAAACAGTGATTTTGTTACTGTTTTTATGATCTTTTTTCTTCGTTTAATAATATGTATATGGTTATGCCATTTAACGAGAGGTTGTTGAACATAATCGCTTCGCTGGGTGTGTGCATATTGACCAATTTGCTTGTGTGAGTGAGCAACGCGCCGATAAAATGACGCGGCCGCCTTGATAATAATTACATGTAAACATCACGTTGACTTGTGTTGAATGGAAACGCTGTGTTAATGTTCTTACATGTTTAATTAATACTCGTAACAGAATAAATCTTACGTCCGTTTAGTGGCATTTAATAATGAACCCCAGAGTTTTGTATTTACTAGCTCTAGCCCACGGCTCTGTCCGCGCGGTATTAAAAACAAACATAATTAGTAGCCTATGTGTTCTTCCAGACTGTGTGCTATATGTATGCCAAATTTCATCTTAAGTTTTTTAACCGACTTCAAAAAGGAGGAGGTTCTAAATTCGTCTGTATGTTTTTTTTCCGCGCGGAAGGAGCTGCGGGCAATAGCTAATCATTTTATAAAAATGTTGTATCATTTAAAATGCACTTTTAAAGTTTACTTCCCCAGCGCAGCGTTCCCAACTGAATCGAGACAAATTTAAATTTACCGCAAAAAATTCTTTAAGCATAATAAAGTGTTTGCAAGTTTGTGTTTGGAGGACGAGACTTGAAATAAACTGCTTCCACCACTCTTGCTGTTATTACTTTAAAATGTAAAAGAATTTCAATTGGATCGTTTTATTACAACTTTCTAACCCATTCTTTGTATTATAATACATCTCAAAGTATGATCGTATATCTTCAGAATTTTGTACAGGAGTTTATGGTACTTTTTGTACGAAATATTATAAATTTTATGTTAAAAATAATTTTTACACGTCTAAAATCAGATTGTACGGAGGAAAGAAAAGGCGTAGATTATTTAAAACTATGCTACGTTAAAATAAACTAAAAATATCTTAGTTAAAATTGAAATTGTTGAAAATATCTTTGATACTGTAATTACATTTTGCTTTATTTTGCCACGTTAACAAATTAGTGTTCCATTTTGAGAATAACCGAATCGCAACATAAAAGGCAAGCCTCTCATAATCGTTTCAAGTTCAGTTATTTAATTAACAATTTAATTACGGAGGTACGAAATAATAATTTAATAACCCTTACCTTCAGTTATTACTGCTGCTATAGTAAATTATAGAGTTGTCAAAATACGAAACAGTTTGAAATTTATGAAGCTAAAAACTCACCTTTGGTTTTAGACTTGATTATAATGCTATTGCTACGATCATAGACGACTTTTTTACCAACATTTAGCATGTACTGTAGTTAATTTATTAAAGTCATAATTTAAAAAATTATCGACCGACTAAACGTGGGTTTCCGAGACCAAAATCTACGGTTTAAAACATATTGATATCTCTGTTATGTCAACGATTCGATCTCATAAAATCAACAGTGACTCCACACTTCAGGCTTTAATATGAATAGAATGACATTTAACTCAGTAATAAATATAACCCCACTATTTAAAATAAAGACGTAAACACGTCCTAAGATCCTAATTATATTGTAAACATATTATACATATTATATGTAATATGTCACCAATCAATCATGAATTCCGCTCTTTACTAATTTGTCTAGGAAATTTGCAAAGAGTTAGCAAAGTTTAAAGTAGTATTCGCGTGGACGTATATTGTTGTGAGATTGTAACCTAATAAATTCATTAGTAAAATTTTCCCTAGTTTGAGAACTTGAAGACTTAACTGAGTTACGCAACATTGAAACGAGGACTTACAAATTGGAGAATTTTGTTGGCGTCTTATTTGTACTTAATGCAATTAGGAAACCAAGAGGCGACGTGACGTCGATGTGTGGTATCAACGATGCTTTGTTTTGTTAAATCCACGCCATTATAGGACTGAGGTTGTTGACCTTCACTAGATTTGTCTGGTAACAATTTATTGTGTGGGAAAATTAATCAATGTTGTAAGATGTTTTTATTTTCAACTGTACATTTCTCAGTTTAACTGAAACTGTGCGGGTTTAAGGACAATATTGTGGAGTTTACATTAACTGTGATTTTTGAGATAAGCTATTTACAAATTCATTTGATGCTGTCATCACGTACAGATAATAATAAAAAAAACCTGCTATAAGCTATCATATTTTGACGTATCAATGAAAAGCTTTCTTTGCTTATTATTGCGAGGCGATAGGAATTAAAGATGTGGTCACGTTCGTCCCAAATCGTCGATAATAAAATCATTTCTTGTATCAGCAGAGCGGGGGACGTGGATAAATGGGTACGGAGGATTAAACAAATGTTCGCCCCTGTCGCGCCAGGGGGTCGGAATGAGGGATCAAATCGGATAGCTCACTGAGAAATTTTTGTTCTTAATGATGCGGCTGAATATCATTCTGTAGACAAATTGAGTGCGTTGACCTGTAATGAACGTTTCTACGCGTACTAACGTTTCCCAATTTTACACAGATGGCGTTGATATCAATCTTAATAAATTCTGTTTGGATAGGGTCAATGTAACAGTTATGTTCCGGTGCGTTCCTTGAAGATCCTGGAACCCTATTCTATTGTTGACCACCGAGGGGGTTTTAGTGGGCCAAATCCCACATAACCCTGTATTCCTCTCTAAACTCTAAACGGTTTGGTTATTCAGTAATATTTGTTACATTATTTTAGAAGTTTGATAGCGTGGCATAGATATTGCCATGCTCAACATGATACAATTTTCGAGAAAAAATAGCAGCGCTACTAACAGAATTGTTCCGTTCGGAAAAAGCTTGTTTTCAGAGAACACGAAGTTAAATTTGTACTGGAAATAAACGAGAAAAACTTATTTTGGAAAAATGTTTTTTTTTATATTTCTGATCGCGCACTGTTCAAATGAATTTTATTCAGGTAGGTAGGCTTTTCTACTCAACCATTTAATTGTAGTTAATGAAATTATTAAATCCAGTCGTGGGACTCCGCTGTTTATTTTTAATGCATTGTTGCGAAGTCCGTGTAGTCAAGAACTTAGGACTCAAGATTATTTGACAATTGCAACTTAACGTTAAATATTTTATAATATCTAACTGTATTTTGGTCCTTATTTTTACACTAGACATCTAATATCCGTTCAATCCGTGTGTATTAGGATCATGAATGCTATCAAAGAGCCAAATATTACATCAGCACATCGTAAAAGCGCTCGAAATGTTGACGGAACCTATTTTAACTTGTAACTAAATAGTTTCAACAAATGTTTCTTTAAACGATAACTAACCTAACATTAGTAGTATTGTGTATGTTTACTTTCTTGTGTAAAAAGTATTTCATTAGCGAAATGTTGGAAGATCTAGAGGTTATTTTGTAATTGTAATCAGAACTTTTGATTTTGGCATTGTAACGGACAGAATGCAAGGTTCAGCCAGTATCAAATAATTTAAATTATCCCTCCTCCTTGCTCCTTGCTCCTTGCTCCACGTCCCTTGTTCGGAAAATCTCATAAAATATGTATTTTTGCTATTCCATTACATGTATTTGGTAAATAAGGATGTGAATATTATCTCGTATTCTTCGAAATGTTGCGGAAAAAAAAACATAAAAATATTTATTTCCTCTTAAGGCGGTGCCTATCGAGAATTTATTTTATATATTTGTTGTTATAATAATCATATTTTAGATCTTGTGATCGATTATTGACGGTAATATTTGCGTATAGCATTAGCAATACTCTAACGCGCGTGCGGGGAACACCGCGTGACGGAAATTAGTTCGGAAATTGGACTTGTAACCATGTAAGGGGGAAAATGTTACCGAGGTGACTAGTCCACGTTTGGACGGAATCGTCCGTTAATCACCTGATACTAGAAAGCAGGTGGTGGGATTCCTTAAAAAATCACGAAGTATCACAAGGAGCGAGAGAATTGTATCCAATATCACTTGTATTTACTTTACTGAAGGATGACAAAAATTTAAATAATAAATTAATTACCAAATTAATTTAATCACATTATACATATACTTTAAAATGTTATTCTGAAACTTCAATATAGTTTCTACAAAAATAAATAAATTTGAATGATTTCATGAAAAATGTTCGTTATATTTTCAAAGAAAAAGCTGAGAAAAACACACTTTATAAAGAATGTACAATATATATATGGGAAATCCGTAATCTTTTGATCAGTGACGCACTTATCTTACACAATTAAGGCACAATACTGTGCCAAATATGACACGTCTAGTATTTAAATAAATAATTTAAATAAAAACGAATGTTATTATGAAGCTTAATTCATCAATGCGCTATGGAGAGGACAGTGCTCAGAATCTTTCATCAAGATATAAAGAATTACGTGTTTCGCGTCATTTACAAGGTATGACTTAAACCTTTATCATAGAACTAACGGCTTATAGTGCTGAAAGATCCTAGGATAAGCCATGAGGACTGATTAAGTCAATTTTCCGTTTACTAGATGAGGGTAGCACCTTAAATGCGTACATATATGTTAATATATTTTTAGGTTTCCGTTTATCACAGGAAAAAAAACGGAATCCTTATAAAATCACTTTGTTGTACGTCCGTCTGTCAAGACCCTTTTTTTCTGTTTAAAAATACTAAGAAGCCGATGTGTTTATTAGGCAATATTTAGGCAATGCGTTTTAACGTTTAATACTTTTATTGCCATCCACCTGTCTCGTCTTCTGCCTTGTTATGTAGTGAACGAATATGTAATTGTTCATTAATGTGTATATTTCTATTGTCATAGGTAAAAGACATCTGCAATGAGCTGGAGGTGCGCGTGTTATGTCACAAGATATTACAAAACGTGTCCATTCTGTTGGATGCGGACCGCGGCTCGCTGTTCTTGGTGCAGGGCGAGAGAGCCGCTTCGCCTCATCCACAAAACGGAAGGTCAGTCACAACAAAGTGTATTTAAGAAAACAAACCAACTAGTCAGACGCTTATACACACCAGCAAAAGCATTGCTTTCATTCGCTCTAGTAAGTCAAAAAATTACAATGTAAAAATTATATCTACAAGAAATTCCTATTTTAGCAAAGAAAGCTGACAACTTTCGTTTTCTGTTTGTGTTATCAAATGTTTTTTTAACATATTAAATTATTTCTAGCATCTTGATTTTTTTGATGACGGTCCTTTTAAATATCAATCTTAATATCATACTTTTTTAATAATCGTTGAGAAATTTAACGTACTATTATTTATTAAAAAATTCTCTAACGAGTCTAACTAGAAGTATGGTCGTATGCGACAAATGTTTGCAGACGTCTCGTCTGGTCTTGTATATTTTTGTTAATAAAGTTGTGGCACACACAGCGTGGAGAGGAGGAATTTATCGCCGGCACACACCGGGTGCTTCGTGTCTCGTACCGTGCGTTTTATTTTCCGCGCCGCTATCTCATAAATTGTGTACACGTGCATGCAAATACAACCTCTACTTACTGAATTTTGTATTATTCTTTAATATTTTATTTAAGGCAAGAAAAACTTTTGCTACTTTACTTTTTGTTAAGGGATAAATTAAGAGGATTTCACATTTTATTTGATCTTTACATTATTTTGTAACCTTGGGAAAAAGGAAAATAAAGGGCAGGATACGCGTAGGCTGAAAATAGAATTATAGGAATCCAAATCCGGTGTAGACAAAAAACAAAGTTTGCTAAAATAATACAAAATCACTTGAATGTGCCACCATTCTTTTAGATAGCGATGCTACATACAAAACGTAAAGCTAAATGTATGTTAACATCGTTTTTCCGTTTCAGACGATGCCGCATTTTGTGAATAATGGATCCGTTGGGTTGGCTATCTTGTTCTGCGCCGTTTTTGTTTTTTTTTTCGATTGCCAGTAATTTGTAACACAAATGGACGCTAATGCTTTTACAGGACAATATGTAGCTAAGATAAAAGTTTGCTTATCCAATATTTTATTGGCGACAAGTGACATGTTTTTTCTTAATTTTAACAAACATAATGATGTTGCTGATATAAAAAGGTTACAAAAATTATGGAATGAAGATAAAATAAAATCTTACTAATACGAGTACTATAAAGCGAACTCTCTACTCTCAACAACAACTTGTGAACATCAACTAATATGAATAAAAAAAAGATTGCTTAAACTCTAATACGGGGGCGCTAAAAAAATATTTATTCTCAAAGTGGGCAGTAGACAAAATAAGTTTGGGAACCACTGATATAGAACATAGTCTGGAAAAACACATAGGCCACTTATTAACTTTCTTTTTAATTCCGCGTGGACGGAGTCGCGGGCAACAGCTAGTATTAATATAAACCAGATCGTTTTAGTAATGATAGGAAACATTTATCAACATATTTTTTACATGAATAATTCACATTAAAAATGTTTGGAAGTGTTGGAATTTTTAATTTAAATGCCTTGCTAGTGGTCGTAGGACGCACATTTCGACTGAACGGGGAAATACCACGGACAGATAGGACATGTGTTAGAAATAGTTCAACTGTAATTGCCGCGTGATATTCTTTATTTTTTACCACGGATTTTCACTGCTGAAATATTTTATTACACATCAATATTCCTCTCGTTCTATTTGAAAAAAAAAACAGATACATGGGATGCGTAACAAGACGTTGTTTAGACACTGAATCTTACTAATATTATAAATGTGAATGTTTATAGGGATGGATGGATGGATGAATGTTTGAAGGTCTCTCCGGAACGGCTTCATGGATCTCGCTGAAATTTGGCACAGACGTAGAACATAGTCTGGAATAACACATAGGTCACTAGTTTTAATTAGCTACTACGCGACTTTATTATTGAAGTCTCTAGACTAATTTAAATGTTACACAGGATTATAAACGTAACACTCACGAACCGGGTACAATTTACTAAACTAAGCGCGCTCGTAAATTGAATTATGAAAGGAAGTCACTCTTGTCCAACTAATTTCATTTCGTTGTCTTAAAGGCGAACTTAAAGACGTTTTATCCAATACAATAAAACAACGTTTACGTGAAGGAAAGTGATAGGCTACATAAAATTTATTCCTCATTCCTATTTATTCCTGAATGATTTTTGTTTTTAATTTTTGAATATGGAACAAAATTGGAACAAAAACAATGCTGTTGTATCCAATATGTCTTTCCGTTGAAGTCCTTACTTCTTTATGCCACCCGAGAGTGCCCTTTGTTGTTTTTATGCAAATGAAAATTCACAACGCTTTTACGGTTATTATTCTTTATTTTATATGCAATCATAATAAACCTTTATTTAAATTTAATGTTTTGATGTGTCTATTATAAAACAAAATGTTATTTTTTAAACATCTAAAAGAAAGTCTTAAGGTTAACGTGTATTACCCATCCAACATTAAGGCACACCGTGGGCAAGAAGCGGAGCTATAGTCGTTAACCATATAGCTTCTTAGTTCCATATTCCGCCATCATCGTCATCATCATCATCATCAGCTCACTATAGGTTCCAGCCCACCGAGGGGTTCGGAGCCTTCCCTAAGTTAAGTTATATACCGTCAGCACCATGTCTTTTATTTGGTTCTGGGGTTTTATGACATAGAATTGTAAAAGACGAATTATACATCTAAATAGGGTATCTTTATTTTATACTTACTGTTTGTCATAAATATGCTTATCAAATAAACTAGATAAGTAATAAAATACATTTTTTGCGTCTGAAACGTTTGAGATTTAATATTTTCGGTAACACCAATAATAAAGAATCTAATAGCTTATTCCATGACAAATATACTGTGGTCTCGAATAACTTATGAACACATTAGTCTATGAGTTTTATTAAGAATTACATTTTTGTTTATTACCGATTATTTTGGCTTTATTCCAAGTCACTTAACTAATATTATATACCTTACTGGCTATTGGATAAAGAGTAGACAAAAGGCTTTTACTACGCCATACGTCTTTGGTTACACACTCCATTTGTCCATTACAATAATGTATGTGTCGGTTTGCTTAATTTATAACTTTAACTCGGTTTATTAATCTATGTAAATCTTCAGCTCTATGGTATATATCGACATCCATAAATCCCTTATATGCGTTGACTTTATACGTAAGTATAAAATTAAATTACTGATTTGACTTCGATTATATTGTCAAAGTATTCGATGAATAATAATTAAAAAATAATAATAAAATGCCCTTAAATATGTACAATGCTTTAAAAAAGTCAGATAGCAATATACATATTATATTTTGTATTTGTTTCCATAATGAAAACTATCTATAATAAACTGATATATAAAAACGGCTAAACACTCACGTATATTCGTCCGGTGGCGGCACCGACTAGTTTCGAGTCCATCCGGGGCCCTTCATCAGGATGAGTGGTACTGGTATTATTTCCACCGGACGAATATACGTGAGTGTTTAGCCGTGTTTATATATCAGTTTAGTGTAATGTCTCACAAAAGTTTGAATAACTATCTTTAATATTAACCTGTATTTTGTCATTCCAACACGATATCAATAAAATGGTTTTTGTAGCATTACTATGTATGACATTTAACGTCCAAATATCGATATTTTGTATCCTCCTTTGAAAATATGTCAGCGGCCAATCCATAGAATGCGGTGCCTCAGATGCAATGTCATGAGGACATTGCTAAGGCTACAGGTAACGAATAAAGGACGGGTAAACATGCGGACAGATGTTCCGATTTTATATGTATACTGCAACAGATAAACAAAAAATTTCGTCGAATTAAGGGTTAAATAACATCAATAACATATAAAATATCAATTCACAATTTGACGATTTGACTATACAATTTTGTAAACTTCCGAGAAAGATACCAATTTTTCTAACTGTCGATGTTTCATTTAGTTATCATAGATAGAGATACCTTCTAACATCCACCCATCCATCTAAACTTATATTATTATAAATTATTTATAATATTAGTAAGATTATATGTTTAAGAATATAAAACATATTTCCACAGAAATAAAAAAACATCATGACAGCTTGTAGCCAAAGAAAAAGAAACTAGCAATTCCCGACTCAAATTTTTAAACTTTGTTCTGTTAATTAGTTGTCGCCCAAACTTTACATCTTTCATTAATTGTGTTGTTTAGTCTTCTGCGAATTAACATTTGACTCCTTTACTAATTAGCTAATTTGTATTTTAAGGAAATTCCGCATCAACTTATCCTTCTTAAATTAGTTGAAGCCGATTGTCATATAGCCCGGCCTTTATTAGTACGAATACGAATTGGATATAATGAAATGGATTTTATGTTATCCGTTTACGGAATATCGTTTTTTATAAGTTAAAAATACTATTTACATAATATTTTACAATTCCACGGTTTAAGGATATTCAAATAATTTGCATACGTGTTAGACGCGTACGGATTATTTTATACATAACAAGCTGTCGCATGCGACTCTATCCACGCGCAATAAAAAAAACTCTATTAGTTGCCTATATGTTCTTCCAAAATACGTTCTACATCTATGCCAAATTTGAGCGAGATCCAACGAGTTCTGGAGATACCTTCTAAAAACATCCGTCCATCTAAACATTCGCATTTGTAATATTAGTACGATTTATTCTGTATTACGTACCTCTAATCATACTTCTGTGTGAACGTTACACATAAAGTAAAATGTTCTAATGAAAAACAAGCAGTACATGATTTAACGAAATTGCTGTAAGAATAGTTACGTTGTAAACGTGATAAGACTGCAAATATATGTTAAATAACAAAGCTAAGAGTAATGTAATTACATGATATCAGTTGCTCATTCAACTAAATCGTTTTTTTGACTGGTAAGGTTATAAAACAACGTAGTTAATAGTCGGTCAGTGACAGATATCTCGTATTTCTTCATGACTCACACATTGTCTTAATAAATATTAATAATGTGTTGAAAATCAATCTAGTCTACACGTGTGTCGCAGATGTGGGCACACGAGAGGAAGTGGATAAATCAATTGACATCAGTCACTTTGTACTAACAGCACTACATCTATGCACTTATTTAGTCACATGATGCAGGCACGTATCTCAAGATTGTAGTTTACGATCTGATATCCATAGTTGTACCTTAACATTATTGAACATATTTTTAAAACTGTAGTTTGTCTAAGTCTCTTTTAGTACCCTATAAAAAATATATCATAGGGTGGCAAAAGAGCCACCAATTAGCTGAAATAGCGAAGCGACTGCTGCCCATAGACATCCTCAATTGCAGTTTCTTTGCCAACCCTAAAAAGACAGAGATGGAGAAACACAGAAAGAGGAGAGAATATATCCCGTTACTTTGCGTTTCCACCTCCCACAGATGCTCTTACCCACCCCGTCCTTTTTTATATTATAAATATAGCACTAAACCCTACATTTCATTCTTTAATTTCTTTTATTAAGTATAGACTATGGCCTAGTCAGCCCAAAGTTAGCATAGGCTTCGAGCCCCTCGATGGGGACGTATAGTGAGCTGTTGATGATGAAGTATAGAGAGGATGATATTTATAATTCCATAATCTCCTCCTTTTTGAAGTCGTTTAAAAAAAAGAACTGCAACGTAGTGAATTTAATGAACGAATAATCAACACTTCATATGCATAGCGGCTGGTTTCTGAGACCAAAATCTGTCTATAAAACATAAATATGTTTTAAAAGGGAAATGTGGTTTCAGAAACCCACGGTATGTCAGCGTAAATAAATATTTCACAGGTGCGAAATGATGACTTATTTATTATACAAAACCTCAGCACATTGAAATGTAATAACCTGATATAATATTAATTAACGTATGACTGAGTTACACTGTGTTGCGATTTAATTAATTTACAACTTTAATTATAAAACAGATGGTGTATTTGTTCTCACATATTTAACTTGAATTGAGAGTAATTTTTATACTCTGTATTTTTAATATTTGTAATGTGTATCTGAATTCATGAGTATAAGTCAAACTAAAGTATAATAGCTCACTAGCGCCCTCCTGTCAATGTCAAAAACACAAGACTCTTGCGTTGTAGATGTCATATCATTTTTCATTTTAAGTAGGTCTGATATGTTTTCTGACAAAACTAACCGTGAGCAGCGTCTCTTACCGACCCTTATAAACTTGTTCCACTGTATGCAAATTATTGGCCGATATAAAATAAGTACGTAAAAATATGCATAACAAGTTACAATAATATTTCTTCATAATATTATTTAATTAATATTAATATATTATTTCAATAAACGCACCGGATAGTCTGATAGTCGGATAACCATGAGCATTTGTCGCGATTTCATTCAACACATCCTCGCTTTCTGCTTATTGGGAAATTCCCCAGGACGGAAATTGACAATTGCTATCGACAACTTCCATCACTTGACATCCAACTGATTATCTGATTTATTAAGTTCTCATTTAATCCACTAATTATTTGCAAAGAGACAATTTAACGTGCATTTTACCTTTTTCAATTTAATCACCTTTTATTCGTTTGATTGACATTAATGGTTGCAACCATTATCAATCCTTTGGACGTTAATCCATTATCTGATCGGTTGTTTATTTTAAAAGTAATCGCTTTAATTAGTGCTGGTTATAATCGTTTGATGAAGGTAGATACTTATAATTATTACTATTAACTATTAATAATCTTAAATAAGACATAATGAACTATTGGTGAGCAATTGACTTGATATTGGGTCTACTATAATTGGATAGTTTAGTAACATAATATATATTTTATTTGACAGAATTTACTAGGTTGGTGAATGTTTCTACACTCTGCATTTTCATTGTAGAAAAACATGTTATCCTCTTAGTCACTAAAATATAAAACATACTAGCTGTCGCCCGCGGCACTCTCCGCGCAGAGTTAAAACAATAGCCTTTGTGTTTATTACCATTACCATTTTTTATCGATATCTGTTGAACTGTTCTGTTGGTACCTTCAAACAAACATCCATCCATCAAAAAAAATATGTCTAAAATCAAAACCCTTAAGTCCTTTATTCTATAGGAATATTTCCTTATGCAAACATATGACGCGTCAGAAAAAAGGTCAAACAAAAGAAGTAAATAAATTGCTGCGCTTCGTTTTAAGAATGGCTTTTGTATTATGCTAATACGTTGGCAGGATTTGCGTCAAAGTATCCAGCATCCATACGGCTCTTTGTAATTTATGTGACACAATAATTCCCTAATGTGTATCTTTCCAGTGAAGTCGCCTTGGCCCTAAAAGGCTAGATTTATTGCGTGTACTTTGATATAAACCGGACGACAAATTTGGGTTTATAAACACGAGACGTTATCTCTATTCGGTCGCTACAAAATGTTTTATACATTACGCTTTAAGATATAATTTTTTAAATGAAATAAATGTTTACAGAATAAATATTTTCGTTTTCGTTTATTCATTTATTCTCTCACTTGGAAATCCGTAGTTAGGGTTTAGAAAAGAAGAAATTATATTAACGCGTTTAACTGAGCTCTGCGTACTCTCTACATCGGCCATCTTCATGGTAGTTTGATAATACAAATATCGATAACATAATATCAACATAAAAATATCCACTCACATTTAGTGACTCATCGACGTCCACTCTTGATCCTAGTGGATATACATTGTTTTCTTTAATATGTGACATTTTAACTCTAAAAGGTGACAACCCTAACTTTTGCGTTTATTTTGTAAACACTAAATAATCAGTGTTTGTGTGTAGGTGTCTCGTGTCAAAGCTGTTCGATGTCTGCTCGAAGTCAACGCCAGAGCAGATGGAACAGTTGGAGGAGATCCGTATCCCGTGGGGCAGCGGCATCGTCGGCTATGTTGCTGAGAGCGGGGAGCCTGTTAACATACCTGATGCATACAAGGTAAATATTCTCTATATAACTTCATTTTTTAAAGGGTATAAGATCTTAGTGAAGTTCTAGAACAAAGAAGCTTTTCCTCGATACCTATTCTAATTATGGGAAGGGCTTTCGTATACTAGAAAGTCATCGGTGAAGTTGAGAACATGGTCCTTAAAATTGTTTTTTTTCTAAGTTATTTTATCGGGAAAATGCACTCTCAAATCTATTTGAAAAGATTGACCGTCACAAAATTAACTAAGTTATCACTAGTTGTTTCTACAATATTATAGTCGTAAAACTTTATACAAATTTAGTTTCCACGTGACTTCAGTTAAAAAATAAATATTAACATTTTAAAACTGCATTCAGAAGTGTTTACGTAATTATGCCGCGCATCTAAATGGGTTTTAATTAGTTTTTCCCTTGAAATTCTCGCGTTTCTAACTTAAGCACCGACGTTGCATAATTTTCATAAAGTCCGTGATATCTAAATAAAGTCAGAACGTAATGCTATTTAAAACCACATCATTTCAACATTTCCCGCAATCCTTGAAATACCTCCCGCTAATGAAAATCCTCTTTTAAAAGCTTGGAAAGCTCCACAACGCTTTAAATAGCAATTTCAACGACGCGCAAAGATGACTTCCTTTGTATTCCTTCTACTTTTATTATCAATTGCACTTTAAACATTTTTATATTACTAACTTGTTATGGAAATTAAAACATCTATGCGTCTACTAACGTTTTTTTCATATGAAAATAAATTCGGCGGCATTGAATGTGTAAATCAAAACTATTTCGTTGTATAGACAAATATTGTGGCAGCAAATAACATGCACTAAAAAAAATTGTGTATAAGAAGTCCATTTTAAATACTTGCCTTTTTTTCATAAATCTAACATATTGTAGCCTTCTTTTAAAATCCTTTGTGGTATATAAGAATCGCTGTATGTATACATTTCTACAGTTTACAGTTTTTGAAACAGCCAATAATAAAGTTAGTATATAAAATTTATTACGAAGAACGTACGTAAGCAAAAATGTACGCAGTAATATTATTTTACGATTGTCATTAAACAATGCAACACAACGCTTTCATATTTCCGTATAAAGTCGATTCTGCTTTTCATGACAACCATTATAAAGAATGGAATAATATTCAAATATTACTACGAATTACAGGATGTTTCAAAAATCTTATAAAAAATGGAATTCCATATTTTGCGTGAAAATGAGGTAATTCTAAAGTTATAGTTATCCGTTTTGCGATTTCTTAAAACCAAGTTTTTATAAAAAATCATGCGTAGTTTTTTTTTATTATTATCGTTTGAAAACCGCGGATTTTTTTTTATCTTAAAGCTGGCGGCATATTTTTTTGCATTTATGAAAATTACTTTGTAAAAATCTCCATAAATCTTTTAGTAATACTTTCATCATGTAGTAAATCTTTTTCGTTAAAGCCTTCACGATCTATGAATACTAATGTCTTGGCTACCACTGGATATGTTTCTATATTCTGTTCACGTCTTTGGTTATGATCTGTATATTCTTAGGGATTTTATGATTGGAAATTACCGTAAAACCCGACGACATTTAGGACATGTCCTCGTTTTACCCTACATTAAAATGTCAAAGGATTCATACGGAATATGTTACCTAACAATTGTGAACTTCGTCAATTTGTAATCTGATTAGATAAATTATAAATTAGCGGTTGCCCGCAATTTAGTCAGCGCAGAGTTAAATACATGCGTCAAAATCAATCCAGTTGTTCCGGAGATAACCCGGAAAAATGCGGCCTTGTGGTCCAATTTGACGTGTCATGAAAATATCGATTTTTCTTTGAAAATGTAACTTCAGTTTGTTGACAGTTTAAATTAGGCGTAGTCTGTCGTAGTCACAATCGGTTGAACTATGTCATAGAAACAAAATAGTTTTACTTTCATAATTTCATTATTATCCAATAAAGCAACGTGTTATTTTATCAAAAACATATATCTCATAAAATTTATTTACAAGTTTTATCAACGTACATTTTATGTAACCGTAGCTTAACGGTAAAAGAACAATCGGTCAGTTTTATTCACGTCGTTTGGGTGATTTATTTTAACGGATAAATCAAGATACCACCAATACAAGCTAACGTTTTACACATTTTTGTTCCTATTTTCTTTTTTTGGCTGAATTGTAACCGCACGATATCCACGTTAATATTTATTTATCGTGGATTTCTGAGACCAAAATTCCCGTTTAAGTTTTTGTTATCTTTGGTTTGGCAAAGTAATGTCAGTGATGGCTTTATTATTTGTTACGTTAAATATAGAGACTTTGGTCTCAGAAACCAACTGTTAAACAGATGAGATGTAAACAGATAAAAATCTGATGAACTAAACTTTAAATGATTACTACATTTGATCTCCTAAACTTCAAGGCTTATATTTGAATCGATCAAACCTGAATGGTCTTCGTATTTTAGGGCGACTCAGAAGCGTATTGAGGCATAGAAATCAGAGGAAATCCGCTGCTGTAGTATTAATTGAATGGAATGATTCTTGCTTACGCCTGAGTTCGCTTCTTTTGCAGACCTCTGCTTTTAATCACATTACCAAACAATTCCTTACTCTATTGAAATTCAGTTCAAATAATATAGAAACTGCCACACTTAGAATCTATAGCTTCTAAGTGTGGCAGTTTCTATATAGTTTGTAAGTTTTATGATGAGTAGTTTAACAATTCAGTAGATATTAATTGAGATTCGGTTAGGAATGTATTCGATTTTGAATTGTTGTTATAATTAGACCTTGGAATCAATAATTACGTGATATTATTTTTGAATTATAATATAAATAAAATTGTTTCTTTCTATTCATCTTTCATTCATAATTCAAACAAAGAATAAAACTTTAACCAAAAAATAAAATAGATGAAAACATCGCAACTCAATAAGTTGAATTTAGTCAACACGCATTTCATGAATAGATTTAATTATTCACTACGAAGGTGAAAGGCATAATTTAAATATCATACAAAAAAGCTCTCTTGAAGTAACATTTTATTATATCATACTTCAGATCTGATATTTGATGAATAACTTTATTTATTATCAGACTGGATTGAATTTACAAAAATGTGTGTTTTCGTGATAGCGTCTTTATTTCATAAAGTTTTTTGTAACATATCTTAGAATCTTACTTCTTACTTATATTATAAATACACATATTTAGATGGATGGATGGATGTTTGATGGTATCTCCAGAACGGCTGAACCTATCTCGATTAACTATGGCATACATATAGAACATAGTCTGGAAGAACACATATGCTACTAATTGTGTTTGTTTTTAACTCTGCGCAAACAGAGTCGCTGGCGACAACTAGTTTTTTTTTAATTTTAAGTACGTATTATTGAGTGATATATTCTTAGTTAGATAAAGTTATGGGTCACTTTTTACAACTTAAACTTTAGCTGTCAAATAGTTATCCGTCAGTCTTTTCACACGAACGTCAAGGCAGTCTTTCCCATGAGTCATTAAAGTAACCAATTGTGGCTTGTTACGTTGAAGGCCGGTTCTATGGGATTAATTTACTCTTTAATCAACGCATAGCGAAATCATCACGCTAAGACACGGATCATATTTGGCTTGTTTCCAAACCTGTGACCTTGCCACTGTTAGCAACTCATGCGTACCCCGAATCACGTTGCCGTAGTTTATGAAAACAATTTACATACAAATGTCGTTAAACGATTGCACTAGATAGATACAGTAATAGAACCCACTGCTACCCACCGTCAGCTTCGGAAAGATTTTGATCTTTAACTTGCATGGATTAAAGGTCATATTGCAATGTCATTTTGACTGTACCTATCTAGTGGTGCGGGCGAGATGTTGTCATTGAATATTGCGCTCGGTTGACATACTGTACCAACTAAACTGGAAAATTGACATTAACATGTCAAAGTTTATACCATACGACAGCTCATTTAATAGTCTCGTTGTTTTATTTAAATGTCTAGATCTAGACTGTCCAGCGTATATCTTTGCCATTTTTAAAAATTGTATTCTACATGTTTTCTTAATGAAATCTTACTAATATATAAATGCGAATGTTCAGATGGCTGAATGTTTGTTTGAAGGTATCTCCAGAACAGCTGAACGGGCTTTGATGAAATTTAGCACACATGTAGAATATAGTCTGGAAGAACACATAGGCTACTAATTATGTTTTTCCCCACACAGACAGAGTCGCGGGAGACAGTGAGTATTTATTAAAAGACAGCTCATATGATTCCCTCAAGAATATGTAGTCTTGTTAGTAACTAGACTAAAGTCTATGTAATGTGAATTAGCCATTCGTAGTTTTTGCATTTAAATAAGGATCGAAATAATATAGAGAAGGAAGGAAAGTGTAGTCGTGACGAATTATTTCCTACAATAGTTTTAAAGGTAACCAAACAAATGACTGTAATAATAATTGACGTTAGCTCTTAACCAACGTCATAAATATGATATTGCAAATACACACTTATAAATATTTACGATTCTAAAGCATTATTGTGTGTGGTCTTCATTTATAATGTGATTCAAAGTCACGCATTTTGCTAACAGATCTCCGAGATATATGAACAATAAGTCATGTCATGACGATTGTAATCAGTCAGCGTCTGACTTCCCAGAGCTCTTGTTGCGGTAGGCACAACAATGGAAACAAACGAATTATCATAACAATATTACTCGAAGAACTATAGCTCACGCTGCGCAGTTTGTTTTACGTAATGATAAGGAAAATACGCTTTAATGTATGATAGATTTACCTCATGTTATTGTAATGATTATAAAATACTTACCTATCTATCATATTTTCTCTAGGTACAGTCAGCTGCTAAAATATGTATACATTTTAAAAGCTTCAAAAAGAAGTATATGCCTTCGATTTTAAAGATATGTACACTCCTCCGCCCTTATTCGATCATGATAACATGTTATTGACGAATAGTGCATACGTATTTTTGTAACCTATAAAGTTTCTAAAGTTTTGTAAGTGGATTTATGTAGCTGACTGTACAAGGCATTAAATTAGCATCTGCTAAGGTAATAGGTTTCATACCTACTACATGAAATAACAGTTATCTTAAAATGTAATATTGAATAGTATGTTTTTGTAAATGGAGCTATTATGAGATGAAATTTGAAACTAAATAAATTGTCGAAGAATGTATAATAGTCTTGTCTCATGCCGTGTAACGTTTAATAATTTTTGATGAAAATATTTTCCAGACAACATAATCTGTCTACCTCGGACCATTCCATTAGGGTCAGGGTTATGACAGCTTTTAGTTTATTTTGTTACCTATTTTTAGACAAAGAATAGGATTACATTTTTAAATAAGTATGGGCACATAAAACAGATGGTTATTGTCAAAAAACCTATTATTACTAGGACAACTGTATTATTTAGAAAACTTGAAGACGCTCATGTTTGACATGTTAATGTAAAGTTAACTTTTTGTTTGATACAAAGAGCGTATCCTTGTTCGTCACAGAGATGTTTGTCTTTATAATTTTGCGGTACTAACTTTGACTTAACTTTAGTTAAACTTAAATAAGTTTTGTGACTACATTGTTCCCTTTTAACGGCTTAACACAAACAAGTAAAGAGTTTTAAGTGGAAAACTAAATTGATTGCAGTGGGCCTAGCATGAGTTTTTCCGACAATCGTCATCGACAATTTTTGCGCCACTAACTGGCGTAAAGTATACTAAAAATCTCATACTATTTTTTATATCATAAGGTGGTAAACGAGCGAGCGGCCACCTGAAATCGCTGAAATAGCGAAGTGTCCGTTGCCTACCTTTAATCGACGGAGGAGAGGATGCACAGAAAGAAAATATTTTCCCTACCCAAGTATCCTCCCATCCGGAAAGTCCACTTCCACTTCCCATCCTTTCCTTATAAGAAAACGTGTGGGAAGGGAAAGAGGACTATATAGGGCCTCCGGGACGCACACTCATCAGACAAAACACGGAATTGCTTCCATTTGACGCCTGTCTTCTGTGTGGTCGTGGTATTTCACAGGACATTTTATTTGAAGATGTTAAAGCGGACTCTACCACTGTTCAAAATTTGGAGACATTTTGACGATACAACGGCGATTCTCGCAAATATTCTTACTAGACCTTCAAACAACAAAACTCTGTTTTATTTATATAATTAAAATAGTGTAATTAAAAGCTTTCAATTTTCTCTGACCAGTTGCGCAAAGCTAACGGAAACCATGACTAATCGGGATTAGAATGTAAAGTATACAATCTTGCTGTCGTTGTTTTATAATTATTCATAACCAGTAACAAAGGCTTGTAAATTTTATGGTAATATTGTCCGTGCGAGCGACTGTGACATATGACCCTTCTGAATAGATATTCGTTAAATTTTTACCGATTGTTCCCACGTACATACATTTAGCATGAATAAATCATATGTCAAAGTTATAAGACACCAAATAACCGCGGGTTTCTGAGACTAAAATCTCTGCATAAAACATATTGTCATCTCTTTCATTATCTTTAATCAAAGATAACAACTTTTAAACGAGGATTTTATTTTAAAAGCCTATGGAAAATGATGTACAAGCAAAATAAATTAAATTTGAACAGAGTTATGTGTTTACAAATTCGTCTTCTATGCAATTAGTTATTTCCAACGTGGTTCAGACATCCTGGTATCCACGGAAGACCCAGTGAGAACGTAAGATACCTGTAAATTAAATTCAGAGTTTTTTAAGAAGACGATAAAATGGTTTAGGAATCAATGTAATATTGGAAAAATATATTGTTCTTATTTTAATTTAAGGTTTATCAGTTTTGTAATAAATATTACTTTTATAAGCATGTCAGTCGCTAACGACACGTATGATAGTATCGCTTACACGTAATTACTCGAAGCGGCCCCGCATTGGCTCTCAGCCAGTAGCCCGTATGCGGTGCGCAAACGGCCAGCCACGCTATAATGTGTATGTTCAAAGATACAAATCTATTGGGCCATAAATAACGTATATTAGAATGGTATTTTGCTTTAATTGTTCACATTGAATATTAGTGTACTTAAATTTGCATAAGGCCCTTGATACACAAGGCAACGTAAATCGTTGACACTAATATTGTATTGCGGTGCGAGAATCACATTGCGCGCGCTCCATACACCCAACGTTGAATCGTGTATTCGGTCAGTTCAGGCATAACGACTATATGTCAACTGTACAGATTTGCTCCGCCATTTTGAAAATTGCACCGACTTTTCTCACGACGATCATGACAAACGATTGCGAGCGACTGTCTTTGGCGATGACAGATAGAAATGTCTGCGACGCGGACTGTACGAGAATCCCTTTTCTTTTTCTTTTTTTTCAGAGGGGAATGCTTTATGCATACTCCGCGCCCCGGGGGGGACGCGGTAGTTATGTAGGGTTCTCTTCCGGATGGGAAGCATACCCACTTAACCCCTCTGTTCCTCCTACGCATCATAGCGAGGCCACGGGCACGCTTGCGCTTTCGTCCGCTACCTTGTACAAGAATCCCTATACATTGTAATGCATAAGTCACCTAGTGACTAAATTAAAGTTGCTATGTGTACGAAGAGCTTGTTAGGCTCCGACGATCTATTAACCATTAAAATTTTTTGTTTCATTGTTATTCTTACGACTATAGATTGATTATATTTGTGATCAAAATGTAATTACTTTTCTTTTAAAATACCTCGCCTTTGTATACAATATAACACTAGTATTAGCATTTAACAAATCTTTATCTAGATTTATCTTGATCTGTTCGCAATTAGATACAAGAGCTCTCCCTCTTTGTGTGAGGAGGGCCGCGGTCTGCGGTCGCCCGCCGCACTCCGGTTACCCTCTCGATCTAGTTCCTACTCAAACTAAGTACGTAATGCAAAATGTTGGACTTTCAATGTTCTGCAATTGTTGATTAAAATGAAACATTTGATGCAACGTTTGTTGATCGAATACAATTAACGGAGATTTTTCTTTAATATTTAAAATTGTAATGTCGAATAGTGCCAGCTAGCCTAGTTTCCCATTTACAAAATTAAATTGCATTACCATGGTGTACGAAGAATAAATTTCGAAGCACCTAACAGATAAATAAGCCTTTGTATATGAACATTTTATGATAATCAGTATAAATAGCAATATTGAATAGTAATCTGTCTATTTGACGTAATTCTTAAATTAACTTATGATATAATTAACGACGTTTAACACTATTACAAGACGTTTTTGGCATCCGCGTGAGATAATCTGAAACGTAGTCGTGCGTAGGTGTTAGAACTGATATAAATAAGACTGATGATGAGCCATATTATGTTACTACAATAGTTAGCGTGTAAGAAAAACAGGGAATTTTTTTTTTATATGATAAGGGGGCAAACAAGGTTATAGATTTTCCCAAGGATTCCCCAGCCATGGAATTACACATTTATGTAGATCCTAGTAAAAATGTTAGTAATTGTAAGTCTGAATCAACAAATATTTTCACCTAAATCCTGTTTTAATTATAACTTTTGCTTTCAGAATAGTTAATCGGTCACTAAGAGAGGTTTTTAGTGTATATTACTTGTACTAAAAATACATTAAGGGGTCCACTTAACTTCCCAGAGTTAAGTAGTAGAAGTATGATTACCAAAGCAAAGCGTTTATTTTATAAATACATCAATCTATCTATGGCATGTATTAAGTGAAAACAGTTGTAAGAAATTTTAATTTTATAGCCGACTGAGTAACGTTATATTGATTGACAGTTTCCCGTGTTACAAGTTAGAAAATAGGCTACTGACCAACTATGTGATTAACTAATTCAAACATTTGTATAATCTAGAAATGTTTGTTTTAATTACATCGGCTGAAATACACGAGAATGGTATAACCCATCCCAAATAGTTTAACAGAACTAAATCTCCGAAATTTTGAGTGGTAGAGCCCGCTTTAACATCTTCGCACGAATAGGGCCGCTCGCCCGGTGAAATACCACGACCACACAGAAAACAGACGTGACATGGTAGCGATTCCGCGTTTTGTTTGATGAGTGTGCGTCCCGGAGGCCTAATTAAGTCCTCTTTCCCTTTCCACCCTTTCTCTTATAAGGAAAGGATGGGAAGCGTAAGTGGACTTTCCGGATGAGAGGATACATGGAAAGGGAAAATATTTCTTTCTGTGCATCCTCTCCTCCGTTGATTAAAGGTAGGCAACGCATATGCAATTGTGTATGTCTATGGGCAACGGTCACTTCGTTATTGCAGCGATTTTAGGTGGCCGCTCGCTCGTTTGCCACCTTATGACATATAAAAAAAATCGACTAAATACAGGGCACAATAAAGTAGTGTTTTTACTAGAGACAGCATAATTCATGACTCTCATTTGTTTCAGGACGAAAGATTTAACCACGACATTGATCAGCAAACTGGTTATAAAACAAGGTCTCTACTCTGTATGCCGATTAAGGATATCAACGGAGAAGTGATTGGCGTTGCTCAGGTTTGAAATGCTAATTTTATCGATAATCCGTTGAAGATAAAAATAATATTTGGCGGCAAATAAAACTCGTAGAGCTTGCGTGTGTTATGTTAGAGTTAACACAAAATAATAACACAATAGAACCGATTTCTCGTTTTTAATTGCAACCATTTTCCATCTTAGTACTCTATTTTTTTAAAAGCTTCCGAGAACGGAGGCGATAAATTTTAACACAACGAAGCCGACAGTATAAATAAATTTTTGCGTGTTTTTTCTTCCAACATTTCAAGTTAATAAGCGAGTGTTAAAAATACTAATTAATGTTATACATATACGGATATTACATTCTTGCATGTCCAAATATCGTGTCCGAATAAATCAATAAGTACTAATTAATTTTGTTATAGGTTATAAACAAACAGAGTGACGGACCCTTCACGGCGTATGATGAGAAAGTCTTCGCTTCGTACCTTCAGTTTTGTGGCATTGGGCTTCGGAATGCACAGCTCTATGAAAGATCGCAACTGGAAGTTAAACGGAATCAAGTGTTGCTGGATCTGGCGAGGATGGTGTTTGAAGAGCAAAGCACTATCGAGCACATGGTTTTGAGGATACTTACACATACGCAGAGCCTTATCAGGTGTCAGCGGGTACAGGTACGTAGTTTACTGTTGTTTAGGTGAGAGACAAGCATTATATTACTAATAAATACTTGTAATACTATTTTACTCCTTTACTATGATTTAGTGTGAACACTTATCAGAGCTGCGTTTGCTACAAAATTATCTATCATATTAATATTATGATTGCGAAAGTTTAGATGTATCCACCGGAACGGCTAAAAGGATGTGGCTGAAATTTGGCTTAGATGAATTTGGCATAGTCTGAAAGACGACAGGTTACAAATTATTTTTTTAATTCCGCGGGGAAGCAATCGCAGGCGACAGCTAGTACTAAATAAGTGTAATGCATATGTGTAGGGATGATTATATGCTTTTAATACATTATATTATGTAATGTGAATCAACGCCTTTCGTAAGTGGAAATCGATAGCTTGATATCTTGTCGTTCCGGTGCGTTCCTTTGGAGATCCCGGGATCCTCGCAGTCGCACTTGAGGTTGGCCACCGAGGGGTAGTGAATAAGGACCTCACATAACCCTGGCTTTCCCCCATAGTATATTACGAAGATCCCCCCCCCCCCCGATACAAAAATAAAAAAAGCTTGACATCTTGTTACCGTCCTCCGGTATAGTTTATTTCTTGACATCAACGATGTTGTAATAATTATTAGATAGAGGAATATTGGCTTAAATAACTCGTGGGCGTTGTGCGAACCCAAAAAAGTTTTTTTTTTGACTAATTAACTGTAGTTGATTTTACTAATACGACAACATGGGACCCATTAATTTATAATGAATTCAAATGTTAAATGTAAAATTATCTTTTAAAACTGGATTGAGATTGTCTCGTATTATGCTAAGATTTTTGTTTGTGCATTAATTTCTTTACTTTACGGCCAAATGTTTTGACCTGACAAAAATTTGATACGAAATTAAAAAAAAAACTAATAAGGATCATAATCTCAAAATCTGTTTTTTATCAATTATTCTTTATGTGATAAAATATCCTTTTCATATTAGAATGCAAATTAATCCCCGGATTATTTTCTGTATGTTTGCTTAAATTAATTAAACAGATACAATTCGTGCGCGATAAACAAACGTATCTTACTTCTTATTGCTATATAAATGTGAATGTTTGGATGGATGGATGGATGTTATAAAGTATCTCGAGAATGGATGCATGGATATCGCTGAAATACGGCATAGATGTAGAACATAGTCTGGAAGAACACATAATTACTAGCTACTTAGCTACTAATTAAGTTTTTATTTTTTAAACCGTGCGGACGGAGTCCGTGGCGACAGCTAGTATTATCAAATAATAAACCTATTAACAAAATAACTGCTAACAATTTACATGAAATTATTGAGAATTTTGTGATAATTTAAATGTTCATCATATACAAATGTGAATCCGAACACAATTGGTGCACCCATTACCGCTGCATTATTATCGAATATTCCCAAAGGCACAATTACACAAAATAATGCGTTAATCTACTATCAAAAGGTCATTGAAATACCACAGATATTATTATAATTATTGTAACTATTGTTTTAATAATAAATGCACGTTTTTTATAATACGATTATAAATCCGAATGTTTAGATGGACGGATGTTAGAAGGTATATCTATAACGGCTCAACGGATTTCGATAAAATTTGGGACAGATGTAGAACATATTCTGGAAGTACACATAAGCTACTTAAGTTATTTTTTTTTTTAATTTAGCGCAAACGGAGACAGAGCAAAACTTTATTGTAGTAGTAAAACTGTTTACAGTTTTATAAAAATTATGAAATTTTTGATTTAATTTATCTATTTTAGCGTAATTTTGTGAGAATTGTGTAGTGTTTAATCAAGTTGTCGTATAAGCAAAAAAAATTATAAGACCAAAAAATGATATTTGCCCAATTGTGTATCATGTAAAGACTTGCTAAAATTTGTTCTATTAATTTGTAATTTCTCATATATCTTCTTACATGTCTCGTATATTTGTCTAAAAGGATTTAAGTTTGGATAGAATCCAAACATTTGTTATGGCGTCAGTTTTCTCGCTGCATGAATAACATTCTAACAACATATATTACATTTTTACAAATACGCGATGTTGTCTTTATGACATATCTTGAATTAGGAAATATTTTAGCTTGTGCTTTCATTTTCTTTACATATGTGACTAGCATCTCGCCCCGGTTTTATCGTGTTGCACATATGTATAGATCATATCAAAAAAGAAAAATGATTATTGTATTCGTCTATACCTTTGCAACTGTATATAAGAAATGCTGTGAATGTAATTTTTCGACCATACTTACTCCGCTGGCGCATCGAGTAGTCAGTAGGTGTTGGCCTCCGACACAAGAGATCGCCAAAGTCTCCTGTCTTGCGCCTTATCCTGCCAGTCCATCGCTTGTAGCTCTCGTAGATCCAGCTCTACGGCGTCTCGTAATTTTTCGACCATGCCAGATTAAAATCATTTACTTACCTTCGGCCGCCGACCAGCCGGTATTAAAAAACTTTAATTTGTAGCCTATGAGTTCTTCCAGACTATGGTCTACATCAAATTTCAGCTAAATCCATACAGCCACTCTGGAGATACCTCTTAGCAAACATCCATCTAAACATTCGCATTTATAATATTAGTAAGAAGTAAGACCTGATCGATCTATTAGTAATTTGCTCGAGGCTTATTGTGTATTATAATTAATATTTGCCACAAGGACTGTCGGACAGTGGATTGTGCTTAATCGACACCATCTAATGATTGAGGCGTCACTCGCCGAGACAACGGCGCCAGAACCGCACTTATCTCGATCTGCGAACAAACTGCTGAATGCTAATTGATATTTATCAAGCAACAATTCAAATTGTTATGTTGTTTTTAAAGCGCTAATAGCTTAATAGTTAAAGGTCACGGACATCCGAACACGTGGTATTAAGTTCGAATCCCGTCGTTCGTTTATTGTTATAATTTCTAACGATAATCTCGACCACATATCCTATAAGTTTGTCAAACTATGCCATTTTCATTCAGGGAATATTTATCTACACTGAGATAGAAGATCTTGCTAATATTATAAATGCGAAAGTTTAGTTGGATGTACGTATGTAAGAAGAAATTTGGTATAGGTGTAGAACATTGTCTGGAAGAACACATAGGTTACCCATAATTCCAGTATATTGTATGATTCTCGATGAAGACGTCGAATAAAGTTTCATAATTTCGAGCGGACGAACTCGTGGGCTAAAGCTAGTTGAATAATAAATCATTAAATAGCTGATAAAATCAATAATGACGACGTCTGTTTGTCGGACGCAAATTACCCGCACCGTGTTTATTCATTGATTCGCTCTGGCTGCCGCTTGCTATTCTATTAGCGTCGCATTCGGAATTTGATAAACACGTTACGCCAATTACATACTTTATATGCAATCTTGCGTACACTTACACATAGGCATTTTAAAGGGCTGAATAATTCGATATAGGAAACGAACATACAACACTTTATCATCTACAACGTTGCTAGACCGGAGACTTATCGTGTTGCGTTTTGGGTCCAATGTTGTTTTCTAACACAATATTGAGTCCTTCATGCCGCATCTAGTCAATTATGTGACACTTTCTTTGTAATGTAAGGAAGGCAGACTGCAATTTTACTTTTATGTTTACTTACTTATTTTGAATACAATATACAGATCTTTGACCGTAGAAATATGCCAATTTGTAAGCAAAGTAAATTGGCTTGGCTTTGTTACTCATATAAAAGTTTGCTCCAATCACATTTCTTAGTTATTCGCTATGGTATTACAAGATTCAAACTTAATGGCTCATTGGCTAGTTGCTAGTTGGACCCACTGCAGGAGGTAAGCGCACGAAGGGAGGGATTTAACCACCCAGCATGTGTACTCGTCGATAGTTAAAAATTTATGGTGAACTGCGTCTTGTATACGCGCGATTTTTCGAGCCATCGCAAAGTTTGAATCGCATTGTATTTGCCTGATAAATATAAACAATGGGAGATAAAGTCGTCTGTTTATTAGATCCTTTGGCATAATACTGCATAAGTTTTTGGCGGATATTCAGTTGGCTGATTGTAGTATCTTCGGCAATGTATTGGCCTACTGGATCAATGCCAATATATCACAATTGGTGATGTATTAGGAGTTAAATAAAAATACAAGGATGACGGTAGTATTTATATGAATTGATTTTTTATAGATTTCCTTTATTACTTCGTTTGGGTTAACTACAACTGTTAATATCCAATGGAATATACGTTTTCCTAAATCAAATGTATGATAACCGGTTTGAACTAGTCTAATCCGGGATAACGTGACAACTTTATTTATCATATCTTAAATTTTCATCGAGCGTCAGTGGCTCAGGGGTCTCACTTGACTTGTAATCTGCAATATGTAATATGTTTTTCGATTTACGATTTACATATGTACATTTATCCGACGTTCTTACGGTGAAGGAAAACATCGTGATGCAACCTGCACATATCTGAGAAGAAATTCAAAGATATGTGTGAAGTCAACCAAACCGCAATGGGCCAGCGTGGTTGACTATGGCCTAATCACCCTTAACTTAGGGTAGGCTCCGAGCCCCTCGGTGAGGACGTATAGTGAGCTGATGATGAAATTTTCATCGCTTAAATTGATTGAATGAGTCATCTCGATAATAAATGCGTTTGCAAACTTCTTCATTCGTTCTTATCAATATGTTATACGCAATTTCTTAATTAATTATATATCTAAAAAAAAGTAATACGTTAAAGTATAATTTTATTTGTATAGTAATTTATCAAAGCAATTTCTCTAACCCTTTATACGAACAACGAAAATCGAGACTGGTTTGTTTTACCTCAAAACCCAAGGGAAATCACATGCAAAAGGCGTTGAAAGTTTTAACAATTTTCATTACATTCGCGAAGTCGTGTTAACACGATTTTCCCCTCGATTATCGTAACATTTGTGCTATTTTCGGCTTCTTCCATTACGCTAAGAGCGAAGGAATATTTATTTTGAATCTCTTTGTATAACAATGATGGGCCTTTAAAAACGTCTTAACGTTGTAAAAATAGCAGTATCTTATACTAGAGCTCTCGTTTTGTGCAAATATTTATCCTAATAAAATATTATAATGTAATTTAATAATTCTAATTTATGTTATGAACCAATTTCTGGAAAATTTAATCATTAGTAGCTTTTATTAGGAAATACTTTGAATATGTAAAACTAGTCAATCATTTTTTTAATTCGTTTAGGTTTAAAATACAAAATTCATTTTGTTCTTAGCCCTCCTGCATTTTTTTTATTATTAAATTTATACAGTTGGTAACAATTAAATTGTTATATTTATTTATTTAAATTAAATTGTTAATACTGCAAATATTGAATGAATAGAAGTATCGGGAGAGATGTGTTAGGAAACGCGCCAATGGTCTGCGGTCTCTGCCTACCCATCTGGTTTACGGGTGTGAGTTATGTTATTGTACACCAAATAAGGTCGAAATATTTGTTTTATACGACACGAATATGATGGACTGGTTATATATATGATTTATATGAGTACAAAAAATATAGTTATACATATATCTACATATTAACTTATTTAATATACTTTATGAGTAATAATTGAATATGAAAATAGGAGCAGGAAAAATAAAATTAAAAAAGATAAACAGTTCAAGGATTCGCCTTGACTTGAAAAGATTATTACCGACATCATTGGAACACGCGTGACGTACATCCGCTTCTGAAGCAAAGCGCGAAATCCCCAAGTAACACTTTATTGGATCAATTCCAAGGAAAACTCAATTATGGGGGAACAATGCGCGACCAGCGGACGGCTTTAATGGAACTTGAATTTGTTCCTAAAGTGGACCTGAACAATTCCTATTTCAATGCCAATAAAGAATAATATTGGTATCGACAGATGTTACGATTATGTACTTTGTTTGTTATATTAAGAACTGATAGGAATAATGTAAATTAAGCTCAAGAAGCTCTCGCTACACAGTTGGATTAAGGGCATACAGGCAGGGAGGCAGGGATACAAATGGCAGTTATCATAGAAACCGCGCGCATCGTGAGTAGGTTCCTGTCTCTGCAGCCCTGACCACTGGTTGTTTGAGTCATGGGATTCCGCAGCCGGTGGTGTTCTGTTTTTAATATAATATGTTTTGTATATTTTTATATGAAATGTACTATATTAAAATATGATAAATAAATGTATATGGATGTAAATTATATGATTCATTAATATTTGACTATGAAATGTCGAGGAAGGAGAAATCTACGGTTAGGTTAGTCAAAATCTCTATGTAAGACATGACGACATCCCTGTCATTTCATCTTTGGCAAAACATAGATAACAATATGATTTAAACGGAGATTCTGGTCTCAGAAATGCACGGTAAATCGTAGATTTTGCAACAAATTGTAAAAGTACCTTAACAATGTATGTAAAGCCGCAAGACACCTTTTATTGTCGGTCATTTTATTGTTATAGTAATAAAAAGCTCTGAACGTTGAAATAACATTTTTATTATTGTTTTATTAACTGCCATGTATCATTTGGAAATAAGAAAGTTACAATATGTACGTAATTTTTATTGTATAGATTTTATACATGAATATGCTTTGTATTCCAAATTATTTTAATACGTTTAACCAACATCTCTTAAAATATTCCATTTAATATCCGTAAAATGCATATGCATTTTTCTTTTATACTTTTCAAACGTTGAAAAATTTTATCGACAGGTAGGATATGAAATTTTGAAATTGGTATGCAAACAAAGACTTCCAATCTATCGCTAAAATTGCACGCGCGAGCTTTTGTATCGGATTGCAGAAATAATAACGCTGAAGATTGAATGGCGTGTTGGTATTAAAATTTAATCTCAGATTAAAAATGCACTTATTATATACCTTCAGTCATGTACTTTCAATATGTGAGTCATGAATTTATTGATAAAAGACATAGATTTTTAAGTATTATTTACCTCACAGATTATATGACTAGAACTGCTTTTCGTGATAAGTCTAAGATAAGCTAATGACTCTTTAATTCATAGTTTTTTAACTCGTTAACAATTAAAGCAAGAGTTTCTGGGGCTCTTACACCATTTGTGCCCATAAGGGCATAACTTTCTGTCTGCACCAATTGCTACCTATTGATAAGTTACTTCTCTCATTTTACTTTATAATATTATCAGGGCTTAATACTGTCTTATTAAAGTTAAGCTTTGGCTACGACATGACAGTTAATTTTATACTGCAAAGTATTTTGCACAGTACCTCTTAGAGTCAGTCTTCTTTTCTTTTAGTCTTCCAAGCAATGTGTTCAAATGTCACATGTCGACAGGTACTTCTAGTCCACGAAGCGTCTAAAGGCAGCTTCTCTCGTGTGTTCGACCTGGAGGCTGGAGATGAGACGGAGCCGAGGACTTCGCCCTATGAGAGCAGGTTCCCCATCAACATTGGCATCACGGGCTACGTCGCCACCACTGGAGAAGTGAGTCTAATATAAGTTGTTTTAGACGGTATATGCAGACCCATGAGTAAAGCAGGATAATTATATTCAGCCGTAAAGATTCTTGTTTTATAAAATTAGTAACACCATGGGAGGTCTTGTGCTTGATCCAGTAATTTATAATCTGCGATTATATGCTTGACCAATTTAATTTTTACAAGTCAATTTATCATTATTACAAATAAAAAAATATCAATTAGGGGCAAATTGATTTTACAAAAATATATTTTTATACGTTTTTCACCTTCGTGATATTGAAATACTTATATTTTAATATTAAACTTCAACCCTTTTGAGACAGTACTTGAATACTAGGGGTTACTATAGATGTGGCTTCAAATATATTTTTTATAAAAAATGTTTTCGCAAAGCTAAATCTTTTTGGTATTTTAAAGCATTTTTTATTAATTTTATATAACTTTAATTACAAGGAGTTTTTAAGTTTTATTAATTATATACATAAAACATATTTAAATGTGTAAAGATTGAGAAAATTTAAAATAATTGCGGTGTCTTTTTACATTTGTTAACTATTTTCTGTTGTCTTTTTTTTTCTTTATTTGTTTGTTTAAAAATAATTAATAAATATGTTTCCAGACAGTCAACATCGCGGACGCATACCTGGACGCGCGGTTCGACCCCTCCGTGGACGAAGATGCTGGCTTCAAACATAACACAATTCTATGTATGGCTATCAAGAATTCAGAAGGAAGAATTATTGGTGTTATACAGGTAAGGTATTTGAATATTTTGTTAGTTATTATCTGAAACGTAAATTAGAGTACTGACCATAAACAAGAAGGGTCGGAAATAATTACGATTTTCATACTTCATGATTCACTCGTCGTTTGAAGGAACTTGTTAAATAATTTCACTCGAATGCAATATGACGTAATTCTTGGAATTATCTTTATTCTTACTAATATTATAAATTCGAATGTTTAGATAGATGGATGGATGTTTGTTTAAAGGTACATATCTTCGGAAGGGTTCAACGGATTTTGATGAAAGGCACACATATAGAACATAGTCTGGGAGAACACAGAGTCGCGGGCGACAACTAGTGTAAACCTTTGAACAACGGTGAAAAGAGATTTACCGGAATAACAGCATCTCCCTTACGTGTTCATATAAGTAGTATCATGATCATCAGCTCACTATACGTCCCCACCGAGGGGCTCAAAGCCTACCTTAAGTTAAGGGTGATTAGGCCATAGTCAACCACGCTGGTCAAGTGCCGGTTGGTTGACTTCACACATATCTTTGAATTTCTTCTCAGATATGTGCAGGTTGCATCACGATGTTTTCCTTCATCGTTAGAACGTCGGATAAATAAGTAGTATACTATAATAAAAATACTGCAAATATTATATATCATTTCTCATTGCGAATGCATTTGCGCATTGCGACAATTTTCCTGCATAAGATTCGATAATATTTTTTCTAGAATACATAGATAGTAGAGTTTGTATGTAAGCAATTTAGTTACATTCTCTCTCGGTTTTAAAATTCCGAATACGCTAGTAAAGCGTCGAGGGAATATGCATTTAAAAGTCGAATAAAAAAGCTTTAACGTTCATTGCTGTAAGAAATGTTTTCATGTATGGAATTGTACCAGATATTTTCTATTTAAATTTATCAATATTGTTAAGAAGAAAATGCTTGTAGGCAAACTACAGAGAACATTTTAAACTGATTAACTTAACAATTTACATTATTTAAGTCTTGACAATATGAAAAGCCTTGAACATACTTAATACTGTTTCTTATACAAGATAAGGTAACAAACGAGCAAGCGGCCAGTTTAATCCGCCGAAATAGTGAAGCGACCGTTGCACATAGACAACTTGATTGCATATGCGTTGCCTACCTTTAATCGACGACGCACAGAATGTGAATATTTCTCCTTCCCATGCGCCCGTTCCGTCAAATCTATTTACTCTTCCCATCCCTTACGAAGCACGGAATTACTTACACTTCACGTCTGTCTTCTGTAAGATCGTGGTATTGCACCGGCCAAATTGTGCAACAAAGGTTGTTGTTGCCGGTGTCTGCAATTGTTAAACAGATTGTTTTGTAAGATGTCACACATTAAATAAATAGATAAAATTTTGTTTTTACTGTCCAAAAAAAACTTCGACTTTATTGTTATAACGTAGTAGGCATTAAGAGGGTTAGCGTTATTACAATTTAATTCAAAAGTTAGTCGTAATGTTTTAGTTTTGTTTCGGTTAGCATACTGGTCGTGCAAAGTTTTTGATTAGAGAAATTATCGGACTGGAAAATTGAGCTGGAAATTTTCATTTAACTTTTTAACCCTCGACGGAATTCCAAATGGCGAATGTTTATTTGTTCTGTGACTTGTTGAAGTTGAACGGACGAGGTTTATTATTATTTTTTTTTAATTAAATAAGGAGAATTTCCCGGTGAAACTTTATACCAATTAAAGTTAGTATTTGTGACTGTCAATTAGTTAATAAATTTTTAGAATTAAGAATGTAGAAAATATTTTTTTTGTATAATTAAAATATACTATTTCTTTACCTCTTCTCCTTACAAACATATTATATTCTAAAAGAGGAAATAATCTACAACCTTGGAATTTATTGGAGATGTCTATCACTAGTCACATCATTTTTATCATCTGACTGCTAGTCCGTTTGCCATCTTAGTAATAGTAAGTTTAAATGGATGGATGGATGTGTTAGAAAGAAGTTCCAGAATGGCTGTATAGATCTCGCTGAAATTTGACATAGATGTAGAACATAGTCTGGAAAATCACATAGGCTACTAATGAAGTTTTTTAATTCCAGCGCTGACGACAGCTGTTCTCTTATAAAATCTTTTGATCTTTTGATTACGTAAATATTATTAATTTTATGTTTATTTATTTTTTTAGCTTGTTAACAAATTCGACGGCCTCCTGTTTACGAAGAATGACGAGAACTTTGTGGAGGCGTTCGCGATATTCTGCGGCATGGGCATTCACAACACGCATATGTACGAGAAAGCTATCACTGCTATGGCAAAGCAGAGCGTCACACTCGATGTTGGTATACATTGATTATTTCACATAAAGCAAAGTTATTTTAAAGTGAACTTAACACGCAATGGATTTCTTGTGACTCTGTACAGCTATTTAATATCGCTGTATACATCTTGTAGTATGAAAACAATATCTCTATCTCTCTCTAATCTTGATAAGATGTCTTTTTTCTCTTTTATATGTATACTTTAATAATATATAATATGATAATTTACATTTCCAGGTTTTAAGTTACCACGCATCCGCCTCTATAGATGATGCTCAGAGACTACGGGTAAGTGTTTTCTGTGTATTTTGTAACATTGACCGTGGGTTTCTGAGACCACAATCCCTGTTTAAAACATGACGATATGTTTTATACAAATATTTTGGTCTCTGATACCGACGGTGAATCTCACTGCGGATTTTTCGGTACAAAATTGGAGCTTTGTATGAAATTTTAAAATGTTATTTAACGTAAAGTAAAAGAGAAATGAGAAAGTAGCCGTGATATCTTATTAAAGTTGCAAATACCTCTACTTGTGAAATATTCACCGACGTTGTAGAGGATTTCTTGGTAAAAGTTTATCTAGTATTTATACAAAGACGTAACCAAGAATGAACGAATACTCTGAATTTTGTTCAATTATATGGTCACTTTATATTTTAAATTATATTTCTGATAATTTGATGTCTAACAAAAATATTAATCTTACTTCTTACTAATATTATAAATTCGAAAGTTTATATGGATGGATGGATGGATGGTTGTTTGAAGGTATCTCCAAAACGGCTAGGCTACTTAATAAGTTTTTTTTTTTTAATTTCCGCGCTCAGAGTCGTGGCTGACAGCTGGTTTATAATATTCTATCAACACGCTTGTCCATTTAATGGAACTAACAATTCGTTTATTATTCATTTGTTGTAAAAGCAATAACAAAACAACAAGACAATTAGTGCGCGTCTCTTAAATAAGTCTAATGGATCACTTGACTTGCGATCTAAATATTTAACTAAATTATTGGACGCACAATAAACTGTTATACACTGAAGGTCTTACTACGTTATTTTACATGTACTTCTATTTAATGAAACATCACAAAAAGAAAATGTAAAATATAGGAGCCTAGCTTGTGCCCGCGACTCTGTCCGCCCGGAATTAAATAAAATCAGTAGCCTATGTGTTCCTTCGCTACGTTCTATATCAATGCCAAATTTCAGCAAGATCCATTGAGCCGTTCTGAAGATACCTTCTAACAAACATCCAAACTTTCGCATTTTTAATATCAATAAAAAAAAGAAGTAAGATTATGATTTTAATAGTAAGATTTATTTATAATCCTGCATTTCCTCTGATGAATGAATTGCTCGCAATATTTTGCTTCATTTTCCTAAATAATAACAATCAAAATTCAACTTTATAAGCTCATGTCTTAAGACGTAATTCAGATTCGGTAGCACGTCAGCTCAGCGCCATCTTGTTTAAAAAAATAGAAGTCAGAAATAGATTTTAATTAATGAAACTTCGATTCATTGCCGCTGACCAATTATCGAGCCGAAACGTCAAAGCTCCGCGTCAATTACTAACAACCTCTCTTAATTGCTTTCAAAGTTACGTCAATATGAAATATTCAATGTACAGACATTTTCCAATTTATTGTTTTTTAATTATTGAGGTTAATAATATTATGTGATTTTTACATAATAACATTGGTGATAAAAAATGTACGCTATAAATACCATAAATAGATTTGTCGCTATCGCTATTTGGATTGTAGCTATATCGCTTTACAATCCAAAATATTATTTTTTAAAGTTTATCTCTTCATCTTCAGGATGATAAAATAAAATTAACTTTATAAAATATCTATAAATCGACAAGGATATCTGACCCGGTGGGCATAAGAGAAACTAATTTAAGATAGCTCAGTAACGCCCTCCTGTCAATGTCAAAAAGTTACAAGGTCCTTTACCTATTGTAGCTGTCACGCCATGTTTTTTTTCTTTTATGCCATTTTCTACACCCAGTAGTAGTGACTTTCTCATCGACACTGATATCCTTGTTTGACTGCAGTGCCACGTATTGTTATCTCTCTCATTCCCTTTAGAAAAACAGAAAGAACAATATGCTCACCAAATTCCAAACTTATAGTTAAAATATCGATTAAAAATATCACTATTTCCAGACGTTACGGATACCTTCGTCAGTGCACTTCAAGTTGCACGAACTGGATTTCGATGACGTCGACCTATCCGATGAGGACACATTACGCGCGTGTCTGCGCATGTTCTTAGATCTGGACTTCGTGGAAAGATTCCATATCGAGTACGGAGTACTCTGTCGCTGGCTGCTCAGCGTCAAGAAGAACTATCGCAATGTCACGTATCACAACTGGAGGCACGCCTTCAACGTCGCTCAGATGATGTTCGCTATATTGACTGTAAGTAAATTGCTTTAGTATTGCTCAGGGGTTGAGCACTTGACTCGCAATCCTGGTCCTGGGCTCGAATCCCGCCATGTACCTATGTCCTTACGGTGAAGGAAAACATCGTGATGCAAATTACACATATCCGCGAAGAAATTCAAAGATATGTGTGATGTCAAACCGCACTGAGCCAGCGTGGTTGACTATGACCTAGTCACCCCTAACTTGAGGTAGGCTCCGAGCCCCTGGGGATGTATAGTGAGCTGATGATTATGACATACCTTTATGTTTTACATATAAATAGTTCATCTAATTTTAAGAACTCTTTCCACCACGAAAATTACCGCGCGACTCTGTTCGCGCCTGATTGTTATGGTTAATGTTGATTTGGCTATTGTTTAAAAATTACAGGAGACTCAGTGGTGGAAGATCTTTGGAGAGCTGGAGTGTCTCGCCCTGATCATCGGCTGCCTTTGTCACGACCTCGACCATCGGGGAACCAATAATTCCTTTCAAATCAAGTTAGTGTCAATCGGATACATTTAATTTAGTCGTGAAGATGAAATAAGTTTTATTTATTAATTGGCTGAAGAACACGTTGAACTGTAAAATGTATCAAAATAAATTAATCGTGCTATCCGTCAAACATCTTAAATATAATAGCGTCAAAGAATGACATAATTGGACAAAGGCGTAAAATTTGTTAAGAAGGTTTACAGGGCACTTTCATAGCAATAGCGAGAAAAAATGTGTTCCAATGTACCAATAATTAGAAAAGAATGCAAACTATTAACCAATACTAGCTGTCGCCTGCGACTCCATCCGTGTGAAATTAAAAAAATACGTAATTATTAGAGCCTGTGTTCTTACAGGCTATGTTCCACATCTATGCCAAATTTCAGTGAGATGCATGCAGCCGTACTGTATAAACATCCATCCATCCATTCAACAATCCACATCCTTAAATTCTCAGTTTTAATTCGAGCTAGATATACTACAATTTTGTGTGGTATCTTTATGTTAATAATATCGTCGTATAATTTCCAGGGCGTCATCACCGCTCGCGCAGCTGTACTCTACATCAACAATGGAGCACCATCACTTCGACCAGTGCCTGATGATCCTCAACTCGCCTGGAAACCAGATCCTCGCCAATCTCTCCTCCGATGACTACGAGAGAGTCGTCAAAGTTCTAGAAGATGCTATACTCTCCACAGACTTGGCTGTTTATTTCAGGTAATAGTCAAAGAATTTTTAAGTCGGTTCAGTTCTCAGACAGACATTTAAATATCATAAAAATTGATTTTTTTATACCTACGCAAATACTTTGTGTACAAAGTATAATTTTTTACGATGTGACATACAGGCACTCCAATTTTTTTAATATGTATAGATATCTTAAACGCCTTTATATGTTGGCACAAGAGAAATCATACTACAGTTATTTGTAAGATAGACTATGTTCTACATATTTGCCAAGTTTCATCAAGAACCGTTGGGCCGTTCCTTCAACAACAATTTCCTTCCTTTTTTCTTCCTTTGTTCCTCAAACAACAAACATCCATCCATCCATTTATGTAAACTTTAACGTTTATAATATAAGTAAAATTGTATTGTATGTACACAGCAAGCGCACAGCATTCATCGATCTGGTGAGCCGGGAGCGTGGTGTGGGGGGAGTGGGGTGTGTGGGGGGTGTGGGCGGGGCGTGGGGCGCGTGCGGAGAGCGGCGCGGTCTGCTGCGCGCCATGCTGATGACGGCCTGCGACCTCGCCGCCATCACCAAGCCCTGGCCCGTCGAGCGCCGCGTCGCCGCACTCGTCGCCGGAGAGTTCTTCCGACAGGGGGACCTCGAGAGGCATAACCTCAATCTCACGCCTATCGTAAGTACATACCAATCCATACATACAATAAGTTAGAAGCTTATTTAATTATTTTCTTGTTCATTTATCGGTATCGCTAAGAAGTTTCTTAGTAAACAAATAAGCTTAATAACTTGTAATAATTTCAGGATATAATGAACAGAGACAAAGAAGACGAACTGCCCGCCATGCAGGTTAAATTCATCGATACCATCTGCCTTCCTATATACGAGGTGAATTAACATTGTTAACAAATTTTATTTAGTAACATAAATGAGCCTACTTACACAAAATAGAATAAAATACTTAAATGTAACATTGCTATAATATTTCTACAGGCGTTCGCAGTACTATCTCCAGCGTTACAACCGATGCTGGACCGAGTGAAGAGCAATCGAGCACACTGGATCGATCTGGCCAACAACGATAAATCTGAAAAATTCGATTACGGCATGGAGAAGGAGAAAGAGGAAAGAAACGACAAATCCAGCGCCAGTTCGCATGAAGAAGAACATGAAGACAGCAGCGGTGCGGGCAGTTTATCATCTGATACTAACTCAAAGTACGACCAACTTGAGAATCCAGTAGTCGGTCTAGTCTCTAATAACGCGCTAATGCCGCGAGAACCTAAATTCTGTCATCTTAATGAACTTAATTGATTGCTGACATCAATAAGAATATAATAAGCTATCTTATAAAATTGTATTTAACACCATAACATATTGAATTAGTTCGACCTTGACGATTTGAATAGATCTGGCATCTCAGAGATATCAACTCGCGTAATAATTTGGTATAATTTAACGAAATAATTTCATATCTTTAAACTGAGGATACTTTAAATTTAAAATCATAATTCGATAATTTATTACCAATTTTTGTATAATTTAGAGTTATAGAGATGCCAAATCGAGTATAGGAACTTTGTTTATTACGCTTTACTGATCTGCGTATGACTCTTATCATTTTTGTATCACTACTAACTGTTGCCCGCGACTCCGTCTGGGATTAATATATAGTAGCAGATCAGTCCTACTGAATATACATATAACATTTCATAAAAAATTGGTCAAGTCGTTTCCGAGGAGTATGTTAACTAACATTGTGACACGAGAATTTTATATATAAGATGTGTGAAGGGACGTTGTAATGCACTTAGTGTGTACATCCACTTAAAGGAATTGATTCTTTTAAGAGTAGACAGTAATGAGATGATTATATGATAGATGTAAGGCCAAAATTAACAAAAATAAACCGGCCTAAGTTTAACCCAATCTTAATTGAGAAATAGCAATGTATTTCTGTCGACATTTTTTAACTTTGTTAATTTATAATCTTACTAGCTATATTATAAATTGTCGGAAAATTTAACCTTTTATCGACAATGTAATATGGCTTGTATTGATAAACATATGTTGAATCGGTCCAATATTTGTTTTTTATATTTTATTTCTCTTTCGTGACTTAAAAATTATTAAATTAAATTCGTAGTTGTTTTACGAAGTAATTTCGTATTTAAAACAGTAACAAATAGATTAATCTAAATCTCTAAATAACCTCATTCATCTATTCCTGCAAACACGAAGAGTTTCGTGTGAAAATATATTATACTAGCGATAGCCCGCGACTTCGTTAGCGTAAAATTTAAAAAAAATTAGCCTATAATATGCCCGTGTGATCTACCTTCCCTTCAAAATAAGTCCAGCTGCGGACTTGCGGACATAGAGATGGACAGACAGACAATTTTTTTTTAATTGTTTTTTTTCGTTAGCAACACGAATACATATAGACACTCCAATTTTCTTATGTATAGATGATTTAAGATGCATCTGTGTATATTTTTGTTCGCTTCATTCGTGAAACACTAGGGCCTAACTGTTGTTACGCTTAGCAAATAAATGACCAAATACCAAAAATTCTTATGTAGTTAGGTATTGTGCTAAATTATTGATTTCTTGTTTCCATATTTCAAATGATAATTCAAGCTTTTTGAGTATTGTGATGATAAGAGATTGAGTTAAGTTGTTTATTATTAATTGCTTAATATTAAGTAGATTTGTTTGATACACGTGCACGATAACACGAGACCTGATGACGTCATACGTTTTTGCGAATTCACTTGATAGATCAGTCCGGGTTACTAATATAGTTTGTCACTTGTAAATAGGCGCAGATTGGGCAGGTCTCATGTTATTCCGCACGCATAGTACTCGTTCATATTGGAACGTGCGCAGGCGCTTGTCTTATAAATAAAACGGTTAATATATTTGTATATTCAAAACGGAATTTATAATACAGGAATTGTATAAAGAACACACTTTTAAAGTGACAAGAAACTTGTAAAAAAAAAATAGGGTTCGATAGAAATGTTTAGTGTAAATCCATGATATGCTTTAATAAAATTTTAAATATAGATTTAGTTGTAAAGATATAATCCTTTTAAATTTTTTTTAATGTTCGATTCATTTTTGTAATATATACAATAATCGAAGTTATTAAGAATTGTTTCGTCTCTTTTATAACACAGATGTGTTATTAACAGAGATTTTAATATTTTTTTCACTAACTGGAGGGAATAAACTAATACTTAATGTTTATAAAAAAATCTTTAACAAGAATATTAATTACTGGTATAGTGGCATATTTGAAAGAAAACGGAGGAAATTTCACGTACTATCCAAAATTATATCGTCTGGAATTTGATTTGGCACGTCGGAACTAAGCGTACTGTTGTATCCGACGTGCCAACTCAATAGCCGGTTAATAAAATTAACTTTGCATTTTAAAATACGTTATAAATTATTTGAGTTAATTCTTCCGTTTTTATTTTGAAGATCGCCAATCAATAAGTACTTATTTATATTACTGTTAATTCATAATTCAGTTTACAGTAGTACTTCACTGCTGACTTGTTACCATTATCTCTGTTTTGTCATAGATAATGAAAGTGTACAAAGTCTTACAGCAGTGGAATTCTACAGTTATGGGCCATCGGAACCGCATCCTCGCTATAATTTTAGTATCGATATGACAGTTATGGTACCCGGTGCATTCATTCCAGTTTATTATAACACAATTGTTTGTGTCGTCTCGTCTACTAACAGACAATTTAATATGTCAATTAAAAAAATGTAAGGTAAAAACACCATTTCTCGGTCCAAAAATATTACTAACATTTAATATTACCATCGCTAAAATCAAATCTAGCTTCTATTTTTAAAATTTTTCGATATAACCAAACTCATTCGACTACTCTGGAACTAAAGTGGTCTATGGAACATTTTTAATAAGCATCTTTGAACATAAAAACGTTAAATAAATCCGCGATATATCTACTACCGTATAAATAGTAATCATCAGCTCACTATACGTCCCCACCGAGGGGCTCGGAACCTACCCTAAGTTAAGGGTGATTAGGCCATAGTCAACCACGCTGGCCAAGTGCGGGTTGGTTGACTTCACACATATCTTTGAATTTCTTCTCAGATATGTGCAGGTTGCATCACTATGTTTTCCTTCACCGTAGAGCATCGGATAACCGTATAAATTTTTACCATCAATCTTACTGGTATTATACATACATTCTTTAGGTACATAATGTCTTTTAATTTGTATCATAGACTACTTTAGTTCCAGGTTATTCTTCTAAATTTTCTCTTCTGTCTTAAAATATGACCAAAATGTTCCATAATAAAATATAAATATTTTCTAATTGGAATAATTCTCTCTATAAGAATTAGATTAAATTTAAAAAAAAAATCTCAAATTAATTGTGGTAATAAAATGTGTACAACGCTAGTTTTTAAGATTGCTGTAAGTATTATTAGAATGTAATTAGATAAAACTTGTAATTCACTAAATGAGTTTGTATGGTGTGTGTGAATACGGAGGTTGTTTTGTTCCAAACAAAAATGTTATTTATTTATGATTAAAACAATTTTTGAAGTACATATCGTGTTTTATTTTAACTTTGTTACTTTAAATTTTATTCGGATAAAACAAAAGACGGATTCATTGCTGCAAAATAAAATATATAACTCGTCAAAAAGTTTAAAAGAGACTAAAATCATCGGAGCAAAACAAACCGAGATAATCATTAAAACTATATTATTGCTCATTTGACTCTGAGAGGTTACTCAGTGAACTTTTCATATTTTATGAAAATAAATTACAGATTTTTGCCAGGATATATCAAAATTGAACTCTATTTCTTTACTAGCTATATCAAAAAAACTTAGTGTAGCCTATGTGTTCTTTCAGACTATGTTCTATACGTATGCCAAATTTAATCGAGATCCGTTCAACCGTTCGAGAGATATCTTCAAACACCCATCCATCCATCCACATCACATCCATCTAAACATTCGCATTTATAATATTAGTTATTTAAATAAAACGTTGCTCTTCGAGGCATAAATTCGAAAAAAAATGAATAAATAGTATCCTATGTCCGTCTCCTGGCTCTAAGCTAGCTCCTCACCAATTTTCAGCCATATCGGTGAAGTCGTTCTTGAGTTGTAAATAGTTCCTAGACTAGTCTATGGGTTAACCCTTAAAGGATTGGAAACAAGATTAGTCAATATCCCGTTTAATTAGGCTGTCGACATCAATATTTTGTTTGATTTCTAAAATGATTATTGTGAGTAATCTATAAATCTATGTCATTAGCCTACAATCCATCAGTGAAGCTGCGGTAAATAGCGCATATATCAGTTATTCCATCTCAATAACAACTTATTGTGTGTAAAACACCATAAAATTACGCATTTACAATTATTTGCTGTCTCTCAATCATTGTATTATTTTTTGTAATTTAACTATTATTATAAATGGAACCAATGAATAAAAAACGTTGTTGTGTAACAGATTTCAGACGAAAAATAATGATTTTGACATTTTATATTGTCAAAATTAATTCAAAAAAACATTTCAGTAAGTTTACATTTCACAAGAGTTTTATAAATCACATTTTTTATAGTTTTTTATTTTAGTATTATTTTATCGTTAATATGCCTTTACTTGACATAACTAATCCTGCGGTGATTATATTTCTTATTGAAAATTATGAGAAGGAAAATCGTTTACGTCTCAATTGGATCCATAAGCATCGTGAACAAATCCAACAAGCAGCGACACTCAACAGGGAACCAACTAATTACTTCGAAACTGATGTGATCGCACACAATATGATAGCAGGAATGGCAACGACCACCAGAGATCATATCGTATCGGGTTACAACAGGAGGAAAACACCTCTACGCGATGCGGTTTTCGTGCCCGGAGTCAAAGATCTACGTCACGGTCATTCCATTGTAGACGTTGGTCTAGGAGATCCGAAAGATGATTCCAGACTTAAAAGACCAGACGATGATCTATCAATTGATCCAATAATGCGTCCCGTCGATCCCAAAGTGAACAAAATTATATATAAACCTAGACCGGAATTTGGAAAGAATAAATACCTTGAAACACGATCGAAGACGTGGCCGGAGAAGAAATACTATTTCTCAGAGTGTTCTAATTGGGACTATGGATGGCGAATGAAGGATAGCTCTTTGCGTCAGAAGCCGATGTATGGACGGTGCTGGCATCTTCATAGAGCGGTACGCACTCGAGTTGGGCCCAAACCAGACCCACCCTACTATAAGTCATCTGATCCGCCCGGCCCTACCAAGATTGTTAACATATAGTCATAGCAAGACGGACTATGTAAAATCTTGTTATTTCGATATTACAATACAATAAAACCAATTTTATTCAAATCCCTATGAATATGTACCTGTTTAAATTTTGAAATCGTTAACATTATTAAAACACTACCCGTTCCGTATTAATTTAAATTCTGTTCATCTGATGTTCAATGCCCATCGTTACGCAAACAACTTTTGCAAAATAAAAGGAAATAATTACAGGCTTAATTTTATGTCGAAGACTTATTTGAAAAGCTAAGCTGACTGTGGTGTGGAAATACGAATCGAATTTCATAATTCTATATTAAGTATATTTTATATCATAGCACAAATACATATCTACATAAAAACAAACACAAAAAAATACATCGGAAAAAACTGTATCTTCAGTGAAATAAACAACTCTGAAAGCGAACTGTGGATGTGGTACGCAGGCAGTAAAGTCTGCATTTACCTGTAAGCTATTCAATTTCATTTTGAACCTTATTACATTATGTTAGAGTTTACCTGTATATTTACGGTACAATATTGCAAATTTTTTTTTAAATTTCCAAGAGCGCCGCATGAATAAATGACATTTAATGACGCGAGCCCGAAATACCAGTATTGCGAATCTCTTGGAACGCGACAACGGTGTGTAGTAGTGAGTATATACTTTTACGTTATTTTTGTAATTTATGTTTTCAGACGAATAATAATTATTTTGACATTCAATACTGTCACATTAAAATCAATTGAATCAACAACTTTTTTTGCTCTCTAGCAGTTTTATTAAAAAGTAGTATTCGTTTAATTTAAAATGCCTTTGATTGATATAACTAATCCGGCAGTGATAAGATTTCTTATTGAAAGCTATGAGAAAGAAACTTTGTACCGTCTCAATTGGGTCGAAAAGCATCGGGAGCGAATCGAGAAAGCGGCGACTCTCCAGAGAGAACCGACAAATTACTACGAGACTGATGTACTCGCTCACAACGCAGCCTCGGGGATGGCAATGACTACCAGAGACTTTATCGCATCTGGTTATAATAGAATGAAAATCCGTGATCCGTATACAACCGTCCAGAGACTTAGAGATTTACGCCACGGTCATTCCATTGTAGACGTCGGTTTGGGAGATCCGAAAGAGGATCCGAGACTCTTAAGGCCAGACGAGGAACTCAAATCCGATCCAATTATGCGTCCTGTCGATCCTGAAGTAAACAAAATCATATACAAACCGACACCTGAATATGGAAGGAAACTATATCTTCATACACGTGCTAAGGTATGGCCGGAAAAGAAATATTATTTTCCTGAGTGTTCTAACTGGGATTATGGATGGCGTACGAGAGATAGTTCTATGCATCAGCCGTCATTTTATGGGATAGTTGAGCACATGACTAGAGCACAGCGCTCCCGAGTAGGACCTCAACCGGACCCTCCGCACTACAAGTCTTCTGATCTACCAGGTCCTACTAAGTTTGATAGTATTTAAATAAGGGCCTTATTTTAGAAGATAGACCTTATTTTTTTCTTCGATATTATAATGTACAATGGCCGCCGATACAGGTTTGAGATCTAGAGGACTTAAGCCAATTTTGCACATCGCAAAAGATTTGTGTGCTTTTCTTTGTTTAAGTTATATTTAAACAACTGTTATAAGTTGAGGTTTTTAGTTGTTACTAATGTCGATCCTAAGAAGGGTCAGGACTGCGGTCACGAATGTCGGGCTGCACCTGAAACAATTCGAGTAGATTATTTATTTTATGCATAATCTGGATTAAGAATATTCATATAGGTTTATGCCTTAAATTAATACCATTTAAAATAATGAATAAGAAGAAAGGGTTATGTTTGGAAGATATGCTGACTGGTATTGTCATTTAATTATTTTTATTTATAAACAAAGAGTTAAGCTCGAGTATCTCTTGATCGAAAGAAAAATTGGGATTTATAAAAGAAAATGAGATATTCCCGAATTAGGAATTTAACTTAATTTAAATAGGAATTGAAGCAAAAAATGTAAGTTATCTTTATGTCCGGAAGTTGTCTGCAACGGAAATGCACATGAAATATCAAATAAATTAGTAGCTTATGTGTTCCACACTATGTTTTACATACAAGCCAAATATCAACGAGATCCGTTGAGTCTTTTTCGTAAAATCTTCTAACAAACATCCATCCTTATACCTAAACATTCACATTTTATTGTAATTTAACTGTTCAAAATTATATTTAATTTGGGCGCTAAACACCTTTGAAGTGGGTGATTTTTATTAGTTAGGAAATAAATATTAAAAAGATATTAAAATAAAATAGAATATTAATAAAATAAATATTAAAACATAAAAAGTTTTATTGAATAGGGAGAAACAAATTACCTCATTATGTTTTGTAATTGCAAGTATTGTAACTACCATGTTTTCTTAGAAATACTTTAACTTATGTTATTTAACTAATATTATGTTTAACACTATTTTTTGTCATACTGATCTTATGTTAATTTATTTTGTCTTATTTTTAATTTTTTGTGCCTAAACTTGTAGATATTAAGTTACGATATCTGAATATTTTTAATTTCATTTATGTTTATTATGTTATTCTTGTTTAATCGTATTTGACGAAGACTTTACTTACAAATATATTGTTAGTAGTTCATGTTGACTTAGACCTTGCACTTAACCTGCCTTGAAGACCGGCAACGCATCTGCGGTTCCTCTGGCGATGCAGATATCTACGGAGATGCTCGTTCGCTTCATTCTCCTAGAAAAAATTAATGATTAATACTGTAACAAAAAAAACAAAACATGTTTTATTATAGTTGATAACACGAAACATTTAAATATTAGTTATGCCAAAATATCCGATTTCACATAAAACTTGCATTAATATATTAGTCGCAGTTCCCGCCGATATTTCCCTATCAATAACAATGCGCATGTCAAGCTAAAATGTTACTTTCTCTTTCCCCCAAGTTTATAAAAAAGGGGACAAAAGATAACCTCAAAAGTACTTACGCACGCGCGGTTCGGGTGTAGAAATTTATATTTTTACATGTTCACCCTATTCGTCAGTGAACTACGCATTATAAGTCGTAATGCAGTGTAAATAATTAAATAAATAATAACGTTAGTTACTACTAGTATGTAAACTAAAATAAGGTTCTAAATTCATTAATTATCTATTAAATATCGTGTTTTACTTCTATGTGTAGGAAATAGTGTAAAAATTGTTTTAAGTGGTTACTACTACTGCTGAAACGATTTGTCATCAAAATAAGTAAGTAATTGTTAAACTCAGAAATGTATTAGAATTATTTATTAAATTAAAACTGCAAATTATAATTTCAAATGTTAATTAAATCATAGTCTCACTATCTTTTTAGCTTAATTATTGGTTGTTTCAATAAACGTTATATTGATTACTTTTTACGTTTTAATATCAAAAATTATGCCCGATTGTTATAAAATTTACAATTATTTTCTCAGATATGCTTTTTAATTCGTTTTTTTCTGATAGTATAGGCTAGCATAGGCTGTTATACTATGATAAAAAATAAATCGAATTGATTAATATTCAACGAAGTAATTGCTATTTACGAACAGTACTCGCACCCCTTCTGTTATAAATTCGGTGGCGTGATGTAGGTATATACACCCCTAAGTATAGACTATCGACGGAGCGTTTCATACAAGTTGGATATTCAATAATAAGACCAGTTTCGAAATGTCAAAATGTGCGTGACAGAAAAGGATACCAGTGTCATAATGAAAATTACCCAAATTCGGGAAAATGTAAAGAATAAAAAAAACAAAACAGTTGTTAGCTGTCAATTAGCTTTAATTTTCTAGGGGGCTGGTCAAGGAACCGTAAATAACTTACAGTTGGCGTTTTTCAAAACTAGTATTTGTTAAAGGGTGTTTTGTGAAAATCATTTTTGTGTATTGGGCCTAATACGAATATTTGTGACAAGCGTCATCGTATTGTCATCGATTAAATGTGTGCAACGCCCCTATCGGGCTTAAAGTAAATTAAAAATCTTATACTAATTTTGAATACGAAGTTATTTCTAGCAAATATTCGTACTGGGCGGACTGTTTCAGCGTTGAAATTTCTGTATTAATAAAAGTATTTAGTCTTGCAACCATCGACCGATTAAAATATTTCTTTTAAGGCTCACTTTCTATTTTTTGCTACTGGCTCCAATACTAATGTTATTCCAGAAATGTCCTCATAAAAACAACTTGGATATTTCCACATGTTCTTTCTGCTTGTTCACTTTAGCCAATGGTCTAACGAATGTTAAAGACATGAGGACATTATGGAGGCGAATTCACAAAGATAAATGTTTTTCTCTGTCTGGGAATTTCAAACGCATTTTGCTTTGTTATAGTTCGGGTAAGAATATTGTCTCTCACAATAACTCATAGTATTACGCGAATACAAATGTATGTATTAAAAAACGTTAAATAAATTAATGTCAGATGAAACATAATACTTAACAAAAAATTCAAATGTAAAAAAAATAAATTTTTAAACAAGCAATTGCACAAATTTTTTGTTGTTATCGTCTTCTGTTCATGCACATTTTGTACTGAAAAAATTAAAATTACTGAGAAAACAAGTTTTTGCAAAGCAGAATTATTTTAAATGTTTATAGTAAACATGTTTCTAACGTTATTAATCGCGCGTACTAACTTAAACCAGTACTTAACTATAGCTTGTCTTACAAAATACACGTATATTAAATTCTGTTCATATATTTTATCTCCAATTGTAAAATAATTTCAAAATATTTACCAAATATTTTTTTATCTTTTTAAGGTTCAATTCAAGACAGTGTACATCATTCATAATGTTGAAATGTAAGTATAATATTTTATAAATGCTAATTTATTTACTAACAGCCTTTTACAATGTCCAAGTGAAGTGCTGGATAACTAACAAATAAATTAACTGTAACGTTCCTGACAAAATAGTTTACATTTCACTGTTTATTTGGAGCTCTTTGGTCGACTTTATTTGACAAATAAGTTCCAGGTAACTTACTGAGGTTCACAACAACTTTAAATCAAAATTTTTGTATTATCATAGATTTCTTTTGCCTATACAATTGTACCAAATCATTATTACTAATATTTTTCATGTGGACAGTTACACGTTTACTTTATGAAATATTTTTTAAAGAACATCAATCTATTTGTTTACGACAATTAAATACATTTAAGGGAACCTTAAGGGTACTAAAAGGAATCCCATATTAATTCGATTTAATAAAGGATCATTGGTCAAGATATATAAATGCGGAATTCCCTTTAGATATAAATAGATAGATTAAGAACGTCAGTGGCTCAGGACTTAAGCACTTGACTTGGAATCTACAGGTCCTGGGTATCACTCCGTGTACCAATGTGTTTTTCGGTTTTCAAATTTCTCACCATTAAGAAATACGTACATCGTAATGCGACCGTCACATATCTGCGAAAAAAATTCAAAGATATATGTGAAGTCAACCAACCCGCACAGGGCTAGCATGATTGACTATGGCATAGCCATCCCTAATTTTGGGTAGACTCCGAGCTCCTCAGTGGGACGTATAATGAGCTGATGATGAAATAAGCTACGAAACGTAAATGTCTAGACGTAGCAATAAAAGAGAGAGAAAAAGACGCGTAAAATCTCTTCCTTCTCCTCTGTATTACGGGTGTTTGCAAATTACTTCCCAAAAAAAAGCAGTGCCGTTTCAAGCGTGGAAACGTGATGCGAGTTGGGTGAGTCGCTTTTGATTTCAAGTCTCGACGGAGATCGCTGGTCAATGCACCCTGAGCACGAGGTTTGTGGGTCACAGCGGCCGGACCGACACTACCTACATTATGTGTCACTTTGATATACATTTACTGGATGTGACAAAATGTTGACCTTTTTTTGGCAAACTTCACCTCGCTTCTAAAGCTACGCGTACATTGGTAACATGATTGTTACCTCATATCTGACTGAGTAATATTTTTTCCCAGATACTTTACAATCAGGATTATTAGAATAAAGAAAAAATGTTTCATAATATTAACTGGACAATATAATAAAGGAAAAATTTGAAAAATCCTTTCGCTGTTGGAAAGTTAAACTATCCCCGGGTGACATAGACCATAATTTTTTGCTAGATATTTTAATTCCAAGCGAATAAAGTCGCAACTGTTAGTGTAAAATAAAATTTTAGTTGAAAAAACCTTGACACATCAAGGGGATACACACTCAACACTTACATCTCTGAAGAGTAATTGAATTTCCGATTGCAACCTGTGATCTTATTTCCTGACTATTCCGTAACTCAATTGGATATTAAAATCTTAAATATTTATGTACGTATAATTTATTAATGATTACCTACTTAACATCAAATACCTTTTTTTGATAGTTTCTTATTATTATGAGAAAAATACAGCAATATTTTTGCAACTTGCCACTAAGGATAACAATGTTAATTAATTTTTAACAACCTATCGCCAGTTATAAGCTTAGCACCTAAGTGCGAAAGCAATTTAAAGTTCCGGTTAACTTCACAGCACGTGTCAGTTTACTACTAACATAAATCTTTTAAAGTAAACATTCATAAGTTAGTTTTAAGTTTTTATGCTAACTTGAAACTATCGTATTGTTCAACAAATAAATAACAAAATTTAGTTTTGTATATTGTCATATTGTTATAAGTTTTAAAAGTATATTGTCAATATTATTTATTTATGGAAATAGAAAAAATTACGTAAAATCTGTAACTTAGATTTTCAGTTAAGTCCCAAATTCTACCATCAAATTCTCTTTTACATAGGATTCCACTGCTGAAACAAAGATGACAATTTATCAATTTATTTTGTATACGTGTTTCTGGCATAGAATCCCACGGTTAATTACAAGGTCATAGGCTAATAACTCATACGAATGTAGGTAATTTACATAGTAAAACAAAGCTGCGTAAACTTGTGGGGTAAAAAATTATACGAATGACTTTGGTTGCGGTCAGTTTTATATTTCAAATTTCGAACGCCCGCATTACCAGCCAGCGCTGCGGTATGTTTGTGGTAAACGGTAAAAATGATGGATACCTTTAAAACTGACTTCAATTTTTTTTTATCTGGCTTATGGTATTGGTCACTTCAATATATTCTAATTCCACGATTTACTAGTTTGATAAACTTCATCAGATGTTGAGTGCGTTGACCTCGCGGCATTGACTACAGTCCTGCCTCACAACAGATATGATTCGATAGATAACTGTACTGATATTTTTTATCGTCAACAAATCGAGGCTATGAATTCGATTCGTGATTAAACTATTTTTTATTCTTATTGGCGAATCGATTTTAAAACATCGGCTAGTGGCGCCGCGGAATCGTTTTCGGACGGAACTTATCGATTTTATTCTTCCATCATAGTACCGCTTTAACATTGTTCCTCTGAAATGATGTTTCGTGTTAATAATTAATGAGAATGAACGTTTTGTTCGCTGAGACTTCCTGTTTTACGTGCCAACGGTGTCGGAAACGGTACATTTTTTATGATCTTCTCAAATTGGCGAAGGCACTTCCATAACTTTAAGTGCACTATAAACCAAAATGTTTGAGGCCTGTATCTGTGTAGTAAATTGTATAAATCTTATTAATATTATTATACAAATGCGAAAGTTTGGTTGAATTGATGAATATTTGTTAAAAGGTATCTCCAGAACAGCTGGATGAATCTCGCTGAAATTTCGAGTATATGTAGAACATAGTCTGCAAGAACACATAGGCTACTAATTAAGCCTTTATTAATTAAGCGCGGACAGAGTCTCGGGCGACAGCTAGTATTTTATATACGTAAATGTTTGATGTACGTATAAACCGTTAGTTTTTCTCTGTGGTTGTGCTATGGTATTGTTAAACAGATTGTCAATTATGAAATACAATAGGAACAATGGTCAGTGGGTTTTGTCCGATTATAGGTGATCTAGGTTACAAGCATCGTGTTACTGATGGTAACACAACCCGGCAGCGATACAACGACATCTAGTTGTCAAGTTTCATAAAGTAACTGTACTTGAAGGAGACGTAAACATACTCAATTCATTTTTAATATTTGTTATACTATTATAAAACTATTAATAGTTGGTTACAATAAAAAGAATAAGTCCAAGTATATTACTAAATATGTGCTTTGCATCACCAGGATTTTTAACTTTGCATTAACAACTTTTCACTGTCGATTTCCAAAAATTAAATTTACTGTTTGTCCACAAATTTTTAATAATGTTTGTATACATAAACTTAAAGTTATCTTTAATAACAAGATTTAGTTTACATTTTAGAATAAGGTTTAGAAATATAAAATAAAAATAAAAGTGGCAACGCATTTGCTGTTCCTCTGTTACATTAGCGTTTTGTAAAATACGAGTTTATCAAAAATTTTGCTTCATAGCTTTTACTATACGAGTCACACGTCTGTAAGGGCTTGATCTTTGACTGGATGCTTGTAGGTACGGCCAACTCCATCTGCCGATGTACAGTTACTCGACACACTAACCGCGAATGAGTAGATTAATATAACCAGTCTGTACACAACTCTATACCATTGCACACGACATTGAATAAGCTCATTTAAGAGTTATCTATGCAATAAATATAAATTATGCAACTTATGATATGTTGAAAGAAAAAAGGGGAAGTTTGGCTCTCATTGGTCTCATCTCCTTAAATACAAGCTAATATTGTAAAGGAGCCAAGGCTATATTAATGCTGTTATCCTTTAGTATGCAATAAAGAATCTTAATTTTTATTATTTGAATAGCAAAAAAGGCATATCACCATCTCAAAGGCCATAACGCATCTGTGGTTCCTCTGGTATTGCTGATGTCCATGGGCAAAGTTGAACACCTCGGTGTTCCCGCTGCTCGTTTGCCCCCTTCTGCTATAAGAAAAAGGAATATTTGTTACCCGAAGTTGATGATCCTGCAGCCAAATGTATTATAATAACAGTAAAATACAAAAACGAAACTACTTTTTTTTGTGAAAGTTACGTTATGACATTTATGAATCAAATCTCTTCTTAATATAAACGAAGGATCTTCTCTGTTTTCAAATATAGTGTGAAGTACAAAATGCATCTTCTATCATCTAATCTTTGAATGTCGTAAAAAATCTCCCTATTGTGTATAAATAAAATATAATTTAAAGGGAAAGGAATACATGAAAGCACTTGTTTTAGTTATTTTTAAAATTTGCAATATTAATTAAAAATTATTAAATTTACGATATTAAATAAAATAAGAAACTATCGTATCAGAATTAATAATATCAGGTGTGGAATATTATGTAAGAGTTATGTTATTTATGATAATTAACAATAAATAGTGCATCTGTTATTTTCACTGTTACTCACTGTTATTTTATTCACGTCATAAATTATCGTAAATTTAAATGTTCACAACATATCTGATATTGATAACAATCTGAATTTAATTATGGATACGACAACGATAACTTTAAATATAAATAACACCCCTAATAATTAAAAAATAAGCGATAAAATTCGTACCATCTTTCGACCAAATCTCCATTAACAGCAGGTGGGATCGTGGTCACGCGCTAGCTTATAAAACGTAAAAAAAATTTAGATTTCCATATTTTAAGGAGTTTTCCTATTTAATAAGTATGAATCTCAAGATAAAATTATCATCCGCTTCAAAATAGTAAACTCACTGTTAAAATATTACCGTCTTTGTCACTTGCGTAAAAAATAGAAAATCCTCTAATACAAAATAAATAAAACGGCAAAAAGATAAACGTAAATAACCGATTTGCGAAGGCATGTTTATAAATCTTGATAGGATAGC